AAACGTTAAAATTCTGCCAGAGATTATCTTTTGAAGACAAAAAATCAACACACACCAAACTGTGCTCGAAATAAGGAAATTTCAGGAAAGTTATTAATAACATTTAAAGAAAAATTTAAATAATAATATAAATGGCAACCCTGCGCCACCACATCGAACGGCATTCACGGTACTACCAAAATTGCAGCGGTACCGACTGGGGATGGGCATTATTTGCTTAAATTCTGCTAGAAGTTCTTATTTTTAAATTGCCCGTATAATCTAGACAAGAATTAGAAGTACTTAGCGGTTATGCGAGGGTATCTTTCACCCCGACTGAGTTAATAAATTCGGCGAGAAATGTTCAAAAACGGTCCCGTCTGTCCATAACAGAAGACGGTCGACATGTCGAACAGGTGATATAGCAAAATCTTATGTCTTGGTTTGCTATTAATTTTTATTGTTATTTACTTGGTTTGGTTTTTTTTTCTTCCATACTTCCCGTACTTCCTCGCATACTTCCCCCTTTTTCTACACCAACTTCCCCAACGGCTTCCCCCTCGTTTAAATATTAGCGGGTTATTAAGAAATCCCATTTATGTTTGCTATAATCAACTATCAAAAAACGACTTTTTGTCCGTATACTCAACTTTTTGTTTTTCCATAACTATCACGGTAGCAGACGGTAGCAGCCAGGTAGCAGCTGGTAAGAAGCAAAATGTTATATTTTGGTGTTTGCTATACTACAGCAATTATATAGGGATATAAGTGGTAGAGCGAATCCAGTCGAATCCATGTCGAATCTCAATTTTATATAGTTCAAAAACTTTGATGTTTGTGTATTTTCAGTTGTGTATTTCTAGTTTGTTGATATTATCGTATTTCTGACAACCAAAATAATTTTTAAATGCAAAGATTAAAAAAAACATTGGCTAAGATTTGGCAATTGTGTAATAAAAAAGTTTCCTGGTTCAATTTATTTTATTTTATCTTTTGAAATTAATTATTGATTGACGATACGCTAAAAAAGGATATTATATTAGTATAAGAAGTGTCTAGCCCTAACAAGGCAACTATTAAGCTTTGGTTAGCGTGGTTATTTGGAGGGTGTTAATTCATTGGCTAGTTGGTTATTTGGTGGGGTTGGTTGGTTTTTACTAATTTATATTTGGTTTTTAGATATTCATTGATTTTCTGGTAATGGTGTGGATCCGGTGGCTGACCTTGAAACGAGTTTTTGCTGCATATAGTCACAGACACTACGCATGCGTACATCTTCGATGTTGCCAGATGTCAAGTTATTTTGGAAATATTTTCAGTAGAAAACAAATATGTGCTTTTCAGTGTTTTTTTTGTCAATATATACCGTATGATCGAAAAAACGGCGTCCAGTTGGCTGGGAAATGATGATTGAGGACATTTCCCATATAAAATGCCAGCGATCTTCATTTCATAGTCATCGGCGCTGACGCTATTTTTTTCAATCATAGTATCATAGTGCGCGGTATATTATTTATATTATTATTTTAATATTGCGCACAACACGTGAACGCTTTATTATGTATTTTCATAGTCAATAAAATTAAATAGAAATAAAAGTCTAAATTCCTATAATTAATCTAATTGCTCTAGATTATTATGCTACGTTTAAAAAGGGCTTTATTAAAAATTCGGGAAATTAAAAGGGATGTGTCCAAGTTTTTTCTTTTTTTATAGAGCTGTAGCTCCATGTCATGTTCATAATAGTTTTTTTTAACATTCCATCAAAACTACGGAGGCCTTAAAAGGCCTTTTAGCCACCGTAATTAAAATTGTAGAATCAGCTTCAGCAACATTAACAGTTACCTTGTTTAATTCTGCTTATACATATATTGCATTTTTCTGCTACCTTAAGATTTCTCTATTCTTACACCTAATTAATATAATAGGATATGCAAAATTAAGATATTTTAACATTTATTTTCCAGACAAAGCATAATATAGTATTAAGATTAAGACATAACAAATATTATCAGAAAGATCTTAATATAAATCACAAACTAACTAAATCTAATTTGGTCTTATATAAACACAGGTATGAAACTAATAACTGTTCTAATAAGATCAGAACTCAACCTTCACCATATTGTCAAGATTTGGCATTATAGAAAACAAGAAATTACAGTAGATTAAGAAAAGAATATCAAAGTACACGATATTAAATACTGTAATGTATTCTACGACACAAACCATCTCCCTTCTAAAGAGAAAAAGATAAAACATAAAGATTATATTTTAGTCTTATCACCACACTCTTCGATAAAATATATGTCTAAAATTGCTATAATCCACTAACTTGATATTTTTAAGAAATTTTGATACAAACGTTATAATAAAAGTATATTATATTAGTAACATTATAGGTAAAATCACAGTAAAATGTTACCTCTATCTCCCATTGACGTGTATTGTTCTATAACAGAGTTCTATAAGACTCGTCATGGTAGTACTTCAATTAATATATCAATACATATAATCAAAACTATTGTTGCCTGTAAATAACTAGAAATTAAATAACTTGAAAGAAATAAAATAATTCTAATAAGTTTAAAACCATTAAGAAAATATCCGTAAAAGATAATTTTTAATTCTAATGTAAATATATAAATAAATGTTATTATTATTACAATTTTATATATCATTTCTTAATTTTGGATATCAAGATAAATCTGAAATTATAAAATTAATTATAGAATTTGTATTATTATTGATTAACACTCAAAAAAAAAATTTCAACTGTTAATAATTTGAAAATAAACTGCAATTTGGCAACATCGACCTTGTGCGCTTGCGTAGTATCGATGATCAAATGCAGCAAATATGGGCTTCAAGGTCAGCCACCGGATCCGCACCTTTACCGATTTTCTTTTTTGTTTGTAATAAATGTATATTCACAGCTGTTCTGCATCCGCTTTTGTCAAAAAACTCTAATGTGATTGGTCAAGCTTATAGTTGCCTTGCTGTTATTAGTCTATTACACAGGTCTATTATCTCTGGTCCATTTAAGGGTCCATATTCCATATCACTCAAATATCACTGGTCTTATCCAAAGACATCTAAATAAAGGGAGACAAAACAACTTACATTTTACCGCGATCACGAACCGTGTTGCACAAAAATCGATGATGACAGATTTCCCTTGCGCCTATAGATTGTAGTATTGTTGTTAAAAATGTTATTATTCTTATTAATGTTTTTTGGGTACGATAGATACATTAAACTAAATATTTGTGTAGGTATATAATTTTAATTAAAATACATAGATTATACCTTTGAAATTATTTTTAGAAATTATTTTTTCTGTTTAAATTATTATATTAAAATATATTAGGGAAATTACTGTGGCAACGCTTGGCATCGTTGTGGTTGAGATTTTACTACAAATTGTAGGAATCTGTAGGAATTACGCTGATTTTTGACGGTTTCATTCATCAAATGTTTTACAGGCCGTTGTTGCGAGATTTCCTTTGCGGTTGTGAATTTTTTTGGTTTTTAACAGGTTTTCAAGCAATTATTGCGTTTTTTGCGAAGAAAACTATTCAAAGGAGTATTTTAACTAACTACGGTGGTTCGCAAGTGCATAATTTGTAAAAAGGTGGATTATTCTACCCCTGGATTGATATTTCGGCGGTAAGTAACATCATAAAATAATAAATACAAGAAGAAGTGTCAAGTCAATGTTAAATTATGGAAACAGCGTGGCTGCCTGGGTAACTAATTTTCAAATATGGCGGCTGGGACATTTGACATGACATAGACATGACAATTTCAATTTTATGAAATTTATTTCCGTTTCCGGATTTTAATGGCGGGCTGTTCAGGAGGTTTAAATGAGGGTTAATATACTTTTTACTCTTTCTAGTAGTAAATAATACAACAAAATTACTCAAAAATATTTATTTGGAATTTAGAACAATGTAAATATGCAAATCAACACAATTAAAGAGCTATAATCCAATAAACTACTGTATCAATATCAAATATTTAAATAATATCAGAGATGCTGTGTTAAAGCGAATTAGTAAAGTAACAGTGCATTGACTTACAGAAACTTGAAGATAAATAAATGTTTTCACAGCTTCACGGACATAAAACTAAATAACTGGAAGCAGGAAAAAGGCAACCGGAACCCACACAAAACCTGGAATCAAAAAAAATATGTAAAAAATATAAATATAGGTACATAAGACTTTTGTGAATTAAATCAAACAGGACTTGAATGTAAATAAAATGAATAAAAAATATAATACATATACATCTAATACCTCATTTGTATTTTAAAAATAATCTACATACATAGATTTATAGCATTATTGCTATGAAAATACATAATAGGTACCTATGTAATATGTAATTACGCATATCTGTTCATCTTGTAGAAAATTAATGTAGGCTAATAATACTTCAATAATCATAATTTACCTTGTATAACTTGCTTTCAGTTGCTCAAAATCACCGATCAGTCTTTAAAGTAGAGATACGGAAAAATCCTTGGCAAAGAATATCCCAAGATCCTTGGGTTTAAAGCTAAAAAAATATAAAAACAGTTAATATATTACCTATTTTTACATATAATATGGCCCATACCTACTACACGCAGAAACGTCGATTTCATCATTTTCTTCATGTAATTAATATCATATATACTTTATTAAAGTGTTAACAAGGAACTTTATATCAAAAACATCTTTGTACTTATAAATTTCAGCCGAAATATCAGAAACAAACTTCCAATCAAATCTAAACGGCAAAAATTAAAATGGCGCTCGACCTTGCCAGAGGCCTCGGGAGCTGACGCTGACACACAGACAAAAGACAAAGGAACAGGACGCCGACGTGCATAAAAATGTTCCGTAGCAGAAATTGACAGAAATCATATAGAAATATTCAGATTTTTGTCTAGGACAGTCTAGAAGGCCATGCTTTCTGCCTGGGTAGAACCGCGCCATAACTGTTTCCAATTTTCCGGTTTACTGTCACCCCCCTGAGTAACATTACGTCTTTCTAGCTTTAACAGTGGCGTCTCTACTATTTAGAACTATACGTAGATTATTACAAAAATGCGTATATTTTGTTATTAGATAGCGTTTTCGATTGTTAAATTAGAATTACACTCACATTCGAAACCGCTATAAATGTTTTAAAAATTGTGTGTGTTATGGCTAATATCTGTACCAATAAAACAGCTATTATAGGTAGTTAATACCTGAAATTTGAATATCAAAATCGCTATCGCTATTTTTCAAAATTAATAGGAAAATATAAATAAAATAAAATCCAGATTTTCAATATTTCATTGTTACCGCCAGCCCCTTGCGCCAGCCATACGCGCAGACGCGAGCAAAAGGTATATTCTAACCTCAAATTTTGTCAAAAAATAAATAATGAAGTGATATCAAACATTTAGCCGAGTATCCGTACTTAAACAGTTAATACATTGTTTGTAGAATATCAATCAAATTTACATCAATAACTTTAAGATTAGCGGCGTACCTAAAAGGTACCATCACCATTTTTACAATTACTTCAGACCAGAGCTTCAGACTTTAGCTATATAATTCTTCCCCTAATGTTGAAAGAAAACTGTTTTTGCGATCTAAATGGTATATTTGAGCTCTAGTTATTATTAGCAGGTTTTAGATATTAACCGTAACATATATTATAGGTAAGATTGATCTATTAGTTATTTATTATAAAGATATAAGTCTGTACTACACTCAAATTAAAAAAATAATAAAATAACTATATATATGTATAAACCTAGATTTTTCCTTTAGGTTAATTTTGCCTTTTTTACCACATATTTTTATTATTTTACATATTTTATCAAATATATTTATTATACTTAATATATATTATATATGTGTTGCATATGTAACCAATAGTATTTTTGTAGCTTTACTGTAAATACTGAGCGTAGACAGTGATGGATTTCACTCTAGAATTTGGAAAATGAATCAAAAGTGTGCAATCAAATTTGTTCTGATAAGTTTGATAAAAGGGATATTATGATCACCGAATAAACTGGTTGAAGGCAAATAGGAAATGCTGAGCTTCAAATAGATACTACCATTTTTGCTGGGGCCTTATCATGCAGGTAAAAAGCAGTTAAATACATTTTATCAGTTAATAAGTATTGTAACAATATTAGTGTTATTTAGGCTAGGTTTTCTTCTAGTTCGCACTCCACCCAAAAAATATTTTACGTAAATGAGCCTCCAGACCAGCTGAGGGACTGGCAGTTTGGCTTGTTCCTTGGCTGGCCCCTCAAATTTGTAAGAACATTGATAAAATATATTTTATACATGTATTTTAATATTGTTTACATACATATATTTTATATGCATGAGCTTTTGCTCTTTGCACTAGAAAACCTTCTCGTTTAAACTTCCCATGATAAATTTAATAATACCATTAGAAGAAAATTATTAGTATTTACAAAAAATTTAAAGAACAAAAAATATAGTTATTTTTATTGAAAAATTAATTATTAATGTTTTTTATTTGTTTACAGAATAGTAAGATAAATCTCATTTTCTGATCTTTCAATAGTTGGATATTTATTGGCTCAAGAAGTCCTATCAGAAAAAGGTAAAAATTATCTGTACATTATATACAGGGTGGCGCCTCTCATACGACGCGGAGGCTCCAAAGAGAACGGTGGTTTATATTGAAATGTAATTTTGGAAGCATATGTAGGATAATAGAAAGTGTTTTACAGAAATATCAAGAGTTCTGCGGGGTGTCCCCAGAAAAAGTTACGCATCAAAGTTTTTTTTTGTAATGGAACACCCTATATATTACATAATTGATTTTCGGATTCTAAAAAAGAAATAAAGGTGAGTTTCATTAAAGAAGCATATGTCTAAAATACTAAAATGTAAGGCTTGTCATATTTCACATTTGGTGAAAATAATGAATAAACTTTAAATTTCAGTAACAGCTACCTAAATGGTACTTTACACATTGTGTACTCATGCATTTGACATTAAAGCATTCTATTAATTGATGAATGCACATTGCAATTAAAAGATCAGAATAGTATTCTGAGTGTTCGATTTCAAATAAAAGAGAAACTTGCTTTTAAAAGTGGTCAATATTCAATATTAATTTTGTCACCCTGTATAACTGTTTGAGTCTTGTTGTAAACTGATTTCAAGTACAATAGTTATTTTATCTATATATTAGGGTATACCGGGTAAATTCCAATATAAAGCTTTTACTGAAATTTAAAATTTGTTTTTCATTTTTAGAAAATTTTAAATATGTTAAAAACCTTACATTTTAGTCCAATAATGAAATTCACCTTTATTTTTCTCATAGAATCCGAAAATCAAATGTTACAAAAACAAAACTTTACAAAAAAAACAAATTACATTACAAAAAAACAAAACTTTGTTGTGTAACTTTTTTGGCGACACCCTGTAGAACTCCCAATTTTTAAAAAGCACATATTTTATACATTTATATGTTTAAATTCTCTAAATTAACCTACATATGCCCCCAAAATTTAATTTCAATACAAACTGTTGTATTCCTTGGTAGCATATGAGATATTTAATTTCAGAAAGAAGCATGTTAATGAGGTATAATAATGATAGTATGTAGAAATTTAAGTCTCATAAAAATTTGGGAACAAAGAAAATGAAAAATACATACTTTACAAATGGGTCTAAGAATATTGAAAAATAAAATAACATCAATGCATCAATTAATTGATTACTTAAAAGAACAATCTTTGATAAGTGAATCATCTGAATTGACCATAAAGGTATAAATATAGGTATGCAGGGTGACATTTTAAAAACATAATGGTTATTATGTGAAGATCCAAAAAAACATAAAAATCGCTAAAAGCAATTTCTAATTGACCCTGTATCTATTACCTTTCTGAGATTTAAATGCTTATAATTGTTATCTTGGACGCACTATATATGTATATATCTGAGTGGCGGAGGGGAACTCTAATAATGTAAAGTTATTAGCCATTTATTAATTTAGTCCTAAAGCCATTATGCCAAAATCTGCCAAGATTCATTAACAAGTTTTAAATTTAGTTCTGGTCTAATTTTGTGAATGATACACTAATCCATATGACAGTGGCATAAATACGATTAATGGAAGGTTCTAATTTCCATGACAAAGCCAGGTCTAAATGTTAAAACCCTTTAGTGAATTTGGATGTGTCTAAAAAAGACTAATAATAATATTATAGAGATATAATATTAGCAAAGATAATATATGTTTTTTTTAGGCTTCCCTAGCTGGGCCAGCACAAACTATTTTTGAAAGAATGTTAAAAGGACCTGCCACACAAAAATCTAATCCTCTGCTACTATCCTTTGCTTTAACATTGTCATTTTATTCACTGAAAACATGAATTTTATAAGGGATACATAAACTGGCCCAATATTTTTGATATTTTTAACTCTCAGAATGGATTTACAAAATATTCATATCAAAAATTATCAAAATATAAGAACAACATACTTTTTAATAATTTTGAAATAATTTAATTGTATATTATTGGACTTACTTTGAAAGAAAGGCCAATTATAGAGTCGCAAAGAAAAACAGCTTACAACATATGTATAAATCTATGTAAAAGAAAGGCAATTATTAAAATATATTTTGACTAACTGGTGGAGGTCTACGTATACAAAAAACAAAAACGGAAGATAATATATTCAATTAATGTAAAAATGAGAAGAGCATTGTGGGATTAAAAACATACGATGGTGATAGATTGTCTTAAACTAATAGGAGTAAGGAGTACTGGTAATTGTAAGTACTAACCTTTCATTGTGTTTTTGAATTTTTTATTACTTTTAAGAGAATTCAATATAATTAGATATTTTTTCAGTCTCAAAACAATACTGATGGTTACAAAGAAACAGAAGAAAAGGGAAGATAGTAATTTACTAGACAAAAGGCTTTTGTAATATGGAGATGGGCAAAATTCAAAGTAGTAGTATTCAAAACAGAGAAGAACATAAGCTAAAGAAAAAAAGGGTTGCTTTTAGACATTGAAATAAAAAAAGAACAGTGAAGTTCTTAAAGAGAACTTATTTAATAATTTTAATTATTGTTTATATTGTAATGTAAAAACTGTAGTGTATGTTATTTCTGAATAAAATACATTTAATAATGATATTTTATAGAAATTAATACTCAAGAGATTTAATAGCAACATAAAAACATGTTTAGAATAAGTTAAAAAAATATTGCTCTAATCTTTCAAAATAATGTATTATTTCTCTTCTTATTAATTTGGTCCATATTTATTTCATCTAACGGCGGCAGCTCTTGTTCAGGTATCATTATGGCTGTATTGTGTAGCACATTGAAACAACAATATCTAAAAATTTAAGTACATACATTAAAATTTTTAAATTGTGTTCTATAATTAATAAACTGATAATATTTTTCTTAACTCACTGTTGTGCAACAATATCTGACATTGTGGTTTGCAATTTTGGTCTTATACCATAAAACATATTGGAAAGTGGCGTTTCCATATTCCGATAATTCTGAAACATTTCTTCAGTAATATAGTTCTTCAGCTCTCTTTCTGCATATATCCCCTCAATGCATATGCACTATCACCTTATAACAGATAATAAAATATGAATAGAGTATATGAATCCTTTGAATATTTTCACATTTAATTTTAAAAAAATTCTTTCAATTCATCTTATTCGTAATATATTTCTAAATTGAATACCTACTCAAATAATTAAGGAATATATTTTATATAAATGATCTAACAATAAGTAAATATATGGACCACTAACCAAGCAGGATTTTATTTGAAAAGTCACCGGTCTCCAAGCGGGTCCTTAATACGTCCTTAATATCCAAAAAATGGTGGCTTCATGCACAGACCCACGCCAACAAGCAATCATGTCTATAGTTTTAAGACTAGCATTTCCAGTAATTTAAATGTTGGGGAAAATAATGCTTTTCTATTTCTAAATACCTCTCCATCATTACCCCCTGTAAATTATAAGAAACCTTGTGCTGATAAATATTGACGAAAATATAACATATAGGTACTTACCAGGTGAATGTTTTCTTACATTGTGTTCCATCAACTATCCCTATAATCCAAGGAAACCCAAATATACTATAAAATTGTTCCTGCTCTGTAACTAGTTTCTTATTCAGGCATTTTTATGAACTGAGGGTAAAGCAGTGGAAGTTCATGGGATACTTTTGCAACATAATACGAGAAGTGGTAGAAACAAACATACATGCCCATAAAAAAAGCTGTAGACTGTACATAGCCCCTGAAGTGTAGAATCTTAATATACACAAGAGTTGATTTAAAAATATTTTGCTGTTGTTTCTGGAAATAGTAAAGAAAGATGGTTCAAAGTAAAAATATAATTAATTTATCTTACATTAGATTTACTAGCATTCCAACTTACCTCTCATTTTGATATTCTAGATTTTGTTCAATTAAACCGAGGGTATATATTACAGTGTCATTTAAAAGTCTCTGTCCTAAAGACTTAAGGAGGTTCATTTCTTGGCAATATGATTTTTCCTTACATCCACTCTTGAGGAAATCCATTTTCAATGAATATACCTACTGATCGACGTCTAAGATATCAAAAGTAATCATCGAACTTACGTAGAGGTATCATAATACACTTTTTAGCTTTCTCAAAGGAATATAATATCAATATATAATAATACTTCCTCGTAAAACAAATTTTTTGTGCCTAAGTCAGGTTAAGTGGCCACTAGCTTGGAAGTTTGACCGCTTAATTTAAATATAAATTCAAGTTAGATTAAAGCATAGTGCAAGAAAATAAGCTAAACATAATGTTAAGTTTTGCTTAAAAAACTTGTTGCAAACGCCCCTACATTGTATATTATCGATATTACTACGTAGATTACAAATTAAAATACACAAAATAACTTTTTTTACAATTTTGAATAAAAAACACCACACCACCGTCACGCCACTGATGGAGCGAAATGACAGAAAGACAGACGAAACTCAACTGTGTTGTCATATTTATGTACCCATCTCTTTTTAACTCTCATAAAAGTGTCAAACCATGTATGATTCCAAAAAATTGAGTTTTATGAATGGAGTGTTCTGTCTACCTATATTTAGATGTCTTTGGTCTTATCCCTACCCCCATCCCATCTGTCTATTTGGTCTCTAGTATGTGACATAGTCTATGGTTCATATACGTATATTATTTATATATGAACCGTTGTGCAATAAGATATGAACCGTGGGCATGTTGGCGACATTGAAGTTGGCACCGGTGGAACTGGCACCCTAAAGTCCCTAGATATATATGGCACCTATTAGTTCTTTTGTTGTCCTTGTTGTGTCAATACTGTCAACGTCGCTGGTCGGCTGGTCGGAGTTCCGCCATTTTTCCATTTTCGGCTTGCTTTGCTTGGAAGTGCGTTTCTAGTAAATTCAAGATTTAACTTTCTCTTTTCAACATGGTAAGGACGTTTATTAAACATTTGTACATTGTTTACAAATATTTATTTTTTTTATCATCTTAGCAAGCACGGGGTAGATCGGAAAACACAACAAAGGTTTTTGTTGGAAGTCTGCCTGCCGGCGTCACCCCCGATGACCTAAGAAAGCTTTTTGAGCCCTACGGGGCGATTGCCGAATGCGACATTTCTAACAGATGCGGATTTTTACATCTGGAAGACAGAGATTTGGCAACCAAAGCTATCGCTGAACTCAATGGCAGTGAATTTATGGGAGGTAGAATTTCAGTTGAAAAAGGCAGAGTAAAATCCCGCCGTGGCGGTGGCGGCGGTGGCCCTATGCGTGGTGGTAGAGACAGGGGTGGCCCTTATCCTAGAGGAGGCGGAAGAGATTTTCGTGGCCCACCAAGGGGTGGCGGATTTGGAGGTGGACGTGGAGGTGGAGGTAAGGTTTACTAAAATAATAATTGTGCAAGTAAATATGTTCATAATAAGCAGATTGGGTGTTTGGTTTTGTCTTAAGTAATGTTAAAAACTTACTAAATTATAATTGTTTAGATCGATTTGGGAGCCGAGGAGGTGGTGGTTTTGGAGGACCTCCTGGACGTAGGGGCCCACCTGGAGGTTTTGAAGATAGAAGAGGAGGTGCAGGTGGACCTTATTCAGGAGACAGAGGATTTGACAGTGGTTACGGTGGTGGTCCAGGAGGAGGAAGATTTGATGAGAGAGGAGGTTATGGAGATGGACCTAGAGGAAATTATGAAGATCACAGGTAATTTTATGATTAACTGATGCTTTTGGTCTTTTAGTTTTTTTACTTTTCATCATAAAAACCAGGGCGAAACCTTAATACAGTGGAGACTCAATAATTAAGCTCAATTAAAGCCAGGGTTAATCCGCATTATTAAAAAATCTGGATTATTGTATCTTGCATTTTTGTATAGGTACATTATAAAAAAACAGTTTAAGTAAATAAACTTTATTTTCAAAATAAATGCATAAATTATAGGAATAAGAAATAATAAACACTTATAAAACCTACACTCTACTTATGAGGCATCAAGTTGCAAAACCCACCTTTTTCATTTTAAAAAAAAATGGCCTAATGACATATATTAATAGTGAACCCTGAAATCTACATAAACATAATCCCAAACTGCAGTAAAAGTCTCCTATTTCTATATAAAATTCACTACAAATTACATTACTGCGGCAAAATCCGTCTCATCCACATATTTGCTTTTGTTTGTCATTATTGATACTAATCCTGCATTTTTCCATAAGTTTTTTTTACACAAGTATAATATTACTACTGACGTTTTCTTAAATCCTTACTTAATTTTAGTAAAATAGTATATTTAATAAATCAAGTTAGGATACATACAAATACCGTATGATCGAAAAAAAAGCGGCGTCTAGTTGGCTTGGAAATGGCGATCGATGACATTTCCCATATAAATTTACATATACATATAACAGCATTCTTCATTTTATAGCCATCCCTGATGCTGTTTTTTCTTGATCGTATTGTTTTAAAATCCGCAATGTGCATCATATTGCAACAAAACCTGCCCTATCCAAATTATTTATTTTATTTAACAGCCACTACTTATACAGACATTACTCACATGTATACATGCATATAAAATAAATAATAAGTTTTTGAAGTTATAATAAACTAGTGTGTTACAACAACGCCTTGAGTTCTCTATCATATATGTCAATTGAGTTTTCTGGCAGTATTTGTGCTGTAGCCGCCTCTGCCTGGTTAATAATTTCTTGTGGAAGATCTTCCTGAATAATTTTTCTTTAAAATCTGACTTGCTGGTTGATAATTCACTATTTTATCGTTAAAAAATCGCGGTTATCTAAATGACGTTTTAATGTCTGCTATTTATTATTTACAAAAAAACAAAAAGCACATCTGTTATATTGCACAGTAACATCAAAGTTTACAAAATAAAATATAAGTTCGGTCACTTAGCATCGGCACTTTGAAAATCGCGTATCAAAAGCCAGAAGCCGCCTCGTCCAATACGCCGGATTTCGATGAAAACAGGAGTGGAAGCCGGGGTAAATAGAAACCGCATTTTTACCGATCGCAAGGTGCGACAAGGTGCAGGGAAACGTGGAGTATTTCAAAATCAGTTTATTGGTGTATTACATATAAATATTTAGACATGGCAAGATAAAAAAGATATAACAAAAATAAAATAAATTTTAAAAACAAACACATAAAATAAAGCTACACAATATCAACAGTAAATAACGTAAAAGATTATTACGTAATGAGTGTTTTGGAAAAAATAATATTACGCACGAGTGCAGTATTCCATGAGTGCGTAATATGGTTTTCCAACACGAATTACGTACACTATAAAATTCAAAGCTGAAACTATTAAATGTCAACAACTTTTGATGTTTAAATGGTATCCTCGGTATTTTTTTTACGTTATTCGATAGAAAATGATACTCTGAGTAGAAAGACATATCATATATCAGCTTTTAACAGTTTCACATATGATTTATTTGAAAGTGTAACACGCGGTTTATAACGACAATTTGACTCGAAATACCAAGTGTGTGGCATGAAATTATTCGTAAAAAAATACTTTTTCTAAATATACTAATGAGCCACCCTCTCTCCATTTGAAAAAAATTAAGATATGGTTAAAAATACCATTTGGGCATCTTTTAACCGGCCAAGACAAGACATGGAAAACATTAGACGATCAAATCTATTTTTCCCAGGGCTCCTTGATTAAAGTTTTGTTTTTAAAAGAGCTGTGACACTCAATATTGAAATTTTAAAAGATTTTTTTTAAGCTAGAATGCCAAAAGTTGACATATGATATGTCATTCTATTCAGAGTGTCATTTTTTATCGAATAAAGTAGAAAAATGCCGAGGTTGCCGTTTAAAAATCAAAAGTTGTAGTCATTTTCGGTGAAACCGGAAGTGACCAGAAAAAATTGAAAACGTTAATCAATCCTAATTTAGGTCATATACTAACACACCAAATCTCGTTTTTTTATCTAAAAAAATAAAAAAGTTATAGGGATAAGCCACTTTTGAGACACACCCAGTATATGATTTTTCGTGTAAAAAAATAAAGTGTTCTTGAATAATTCTAATTAGATATTTTAAATAATTTTTTTTCCAGTGGCGAAAAACTCAATATTATTTTTAAGAAATAATAAAAATAATTATGTTTTTTTTTAGAATAAACTAATAAATAATTAACTAAGGCTAATGTGATCAGTAACATTTTGCAATGAAAATTAAATAATCACTTGAAAAATAATTCCATATGCATGCGAGACCACTCTGTAATAACGCCAAAATCAGAGTCTTTGAATAAGAAGACTAAGGAAGGAGCATAATGCTATCCATGTATTCATGCATGGTGGGCGGAAAAAGCGCCATAAAAGCACTCTAGGGTGGGGATCCTTGACAGTTCTGTTTGACGATTCATTTGACACATTTGAATTTGATTTGAAATTTTGTGGATTTGTCAGTCTTTACGGAGACTTTTTTTCTTATTTTATGTCATTTATTATTTATTCTACTACTGATAGTTGTATAAAGGTAGTAAATCTAGATGGAAATTGTAGCAGCACTTAAATTAACAGTGACACTATCGCGATTTATCGAAAAAGACTCTACAATAGTTGGTTGTGTAGCGTGCGGTAGATTTCGGCAAAAATTGAGTGAAATAATGGAACAACTTTTCGCTAGTAAGTGACTATATAATATACATACGTCTAGTAAACCAATCATTTATGAAATTCAGTTAAATTAACTAAATTATATATTTTTCTTGCATTTTAGCTTTTATTTATTACTTGTCAAAGATTAGATGTCAAAAAATTTAGATACGTTAATTTGACTTACCTGCTTCAGTAGCGTATCGGATGTTTGTGGTAATAAATACTTATTATAACTTATCTATTTTTATTAGAATTATATATCTTTATAACAATTTTAATAACTACCAACATTTATTCACAACGTAAAATAAAACAACAAATTATTGAGTCTGCCCCACGTCTACCCTACATCATAGTTTTACATTTTTTAAATAAAATTAGAACAACACTGATAAACCGGAATTTAAATCGGCCATATTTGAGGCCCATCGCGGTGTACCTAAGATTTTTGATATGCTCCTTCCTTAGTCTTCTTATTCAAAGATCAGAGTAATACGCCGAACGTGATCCGCCGTGTATGCTGGGTCCAAAGTCCACACACCAGTAATACACTGGGAAACACGTGCGTGAAGCGGCTTTTGATACCTGCCGCCAGCACAAGTGACGGAACTTATATTTTATTCTGTAAACTTTGGTAACATAAACGCACCCTGATAATTTATTAATTCGCAACTATGAATCTAGAACTGGTAGATCCTTTTAAATCAATTATTCTTTAGAGATTGGACATGAAACAATTCTGCTGTTGGATAAAATTTTGTTTGGCACTCGCGTGTTATAACATATAAGTCACTTGAGAAAATTAACACAACAAGCTAAACATTTCCCATAAGTGCCATAAATAACTATTTATTTTTTGTTTAAAAATTAATATTAATTTTTATTTCTAGAAAAACCAGATTCAAAACAATGATTCCACTTAATGGATACGTTTTTTTTTTGTAAAATAGCGCTTCAAACATTTGCTAAATCATCTTTTGCTTATTATCTCGAAAAAACGTTTGTGGGATAAGAGGGGTTTTGCCATTTGATGCCTCAATGTATACACATAGGTATACCGATTTGGTCATTTTAGAAGTGTGGTCTGGATTTTAACATGTAAGACAGTGGTGTAGACAGCTTAATGGAAAATGTATTAAAAAGAGATAAAAGTTGAGTTGATACATTTCTTGTATGCGGTATTGCATCAAAAATTTAAACAGCGCAATGATTGTGGAAAAAAGGTGTTTATGGAAAATGTTGCATCTAGGGTTGGAACCTTATTTTTCACAATTAGTTACTCATTTTGCTACAGATGTAATAGATTATATTTAGCTTAGATATATTATGTTCATTTCAGTAGTATATATGAAAGTTGCGATTTTGTCTCTGTCTGTCAACCAGTCATTTATATTATTCTCTGTCTTACACGTTAAAACCCAGACCACACTTCTAAAATGACCAAATTGGTATACTAGGTATATTGTATTGTATTATTGAATCATGCAATCCGGATTACATAGTACGAGTCATTTTATATGTATATACAGGGTGTCCCAGAAATGAGTGCAGATATTTTAAGGGGTGGTAGATCTGGCCAAAAGAAACATATTTTCTCTTTACCATTTTTAAAATAGATTGAAAATAACCGAGTTATTTAACTTTGAAAGTTTAAAAAAAAAATTGCGACATTTTGAGAGCCGCCGGGGAATCTCGCGGATTTATATATATATATATATATATATATATATATATATATATATATATATACATATATGTATATGAAAAATACTATTTTCCTTTTATAGAGCTGCTCCTCCACCTAGAGGTCCACCATCTGGAGGGCCTGATATATACAGTCGAAGAGATACTGGTCCTAAACCAATGTATAAGTATAAATAGATATATATTATTTGAATCAACTAATTTGGCATATATTTCAGTGGTGGAGGGTATGATGCCTCACGATATGGAGGTGGTGGTGCAAATGGATATGGTGCAACTGGAGGATATGGCGCAAGCGCTGGTGGATATAATGGTGGTGCTCAAGGAGGAAATTATGGAGGTGGTTATGGCGCCGGCGGTGCTTCTGCAGGAGGTTATGGAGACAGGTAGAGATCATTTATTTCTATGTTAGAGATATAGATGAGTTCATAACCATGTTAAAAAATTCATTATAAACGTGTAACATAGAGGATGTTAATAAAAATACATAAATCAATGAATTATATAGAAGTGCTTATGGAGCTGGTGGAGCAGGTGGTAGCTATGGTGCTGGTGGACCTAACAATTATGACAATGGCGGCAGCTATGGAGGTGCTCCAGCTGGAGGTAGAGGTGGATATGATGCAGGCTACCCTCCTCTTCCATCTCAGAGAGGGTAAGTATTTGATAGAATTTTTTTATAATATCCAACATTACAATTTTTTTTTGTTCTATTGAGAATATATATACTTTCTTGTTATGGAGGTGAAGGTATAACACAAACATTAAAATAAAACTATTAATTCACCACTATACACCAAAACACTTTACTTTTAACACTGGACGCACGTTTCGCTATCCATGTTAACATCATCAGCAGATGATTAAAACTTTTTATGGTTTCAATCATTAGCGCGCGTTCGTTGTTAAAATTAAAGGGTTTTGTTGTATTCACGTTGAATACACCAAATGTGAATTAGTGTTTTATTTTGCTGCTGTAAAACCAAAGAGGTTTCAACCGCCCAACTATAACATAAACATATTCTTCAAAATGTCTTAAACCCCGTTCGCGCTGATTGACTTACAGTCGACGCGGCGTCGATGCAGCGGTCTATCATTTTGTTCACACTAGAAACGGCCTCGCCTCAACATTTTAAAGTCGTCTTACCGGCTCGACACGCACACTCATTCGACCATATTCTGTTCTTCATAAAGGTCAAGCTTTCTAAGAGGCCGTGCCCCGCTTGTTCTGAACGGTAGATCACTAGAGTGTGAACAGCACCATTTAAATACATGGGGTAATAGACCGATTCGGCGCCACGGTGCTTTATGCTGTCAGTAAAATCGTGCGTCGAGTGAACGCCGCTCGGTGTGTACGCTCGAATTAAAATGTACAGACCCATGCGTCGACGCCGCTTCAAGAGTAAATCCCTCAGTGGGAATGGAGTCTTAATAGGCCTATTTTGCAATTTTTCTATATTCTTTGTTATTTGAGATGTGTTAAACAATGGTATTTATCCAATTTTATTTTTATGGTTGGTTCATGCTTTCATTCTTAACCATAACACAACACTAGTCCTAATCCAATGCAATGATCTTGACATTAACCTTCGTCCTAACGAGTGTTAAAAAAATATGGGATATTTTATATTCTTTGGACTAATTGTAATTTAAAATTGAGTTGCGCATGCTCAAAACTCGGGGTTTTAAGAATTTTCAAAAAAATATTTGACGTTGAATGTGACGGCTTATAAATGTTCATAATTATCTATTTTTTAGTCTAGAAATGATTAATATTTGTTTACAAACGAGTGAATTTGTCTCTCTTGTTTTCTAATTTCTAAAAATATTTGTAAAATTAGGTTAACTCACAACAGTAAGTTACTCACAATAATATGAGAAGTATGAACGGCATTTCTATAAGGTCTTAATGGCTTACTTCAGTTTTTTATTATCGATTCTGAGCCATCCTAGAACTCTACAATCCATGCCCAATTGCCGCATATTTTCCTCTGCGCATGCGTATCACTTTAGGATAGTTTAGAATCAGTAAAAAGAAAAACCCGAAGTAAGCTAATTAATTATTAGGATGTTAAAGAGTAAAGTTAGGATTAAAGCCGGAGTCTCAAGCATCCGTATCCGATGGTACATTCGAAATTTGAAATTACCTTGTGAAATAAAAAAAGCCTGTCACATACGTCTGAAAGTTCGTTCCGAAATTTGACAGTTTCGACATTATTAAGACCTGTCATTCCTATCAACAGTCAACAGTATCAACATCAGTCAGTTTTTGGTTATTCAAAACATAATAATTTACATTTTCAATTTGTATTTAAGATAAATAGTTAGCTAGCTAATTTACCTGTGATGTGGGTAATATAAATATATGGAAATCATGATGGATGAATCAGCCAAACTGAGGAAGTAGAAAGTGAGTTCTTAGAGGAATCCTAGGTAGTTCTTTAAAATTGGACAAACCCAAAATCTTCTACGAACTTTGTTTTTCCTTTTTTTTTCTTACTAGAAGTAATAGAGATAATAGTACGACATTGTTGAGTTGGTTTTTCTGCTGCATTGAATAGAGATTCATGTCATGTATTACTGGAGAAACACTTATAAAAATAACTTCCTCGCCAAATATCCCGAAATTGCCCACTTCCAACTAAACTTGTTTTTAAAAACCAATGTTTTCAAAAAAAGGTGAGGTTAAAAAGCACACGATATCGTACAAAAGTTAAACAAAATTTAACTTTATACGACGTCGGACGATTAGTTAAAAATATCGGATAAAAATTGGTGTCAAAATATTTCGACCAATAGGAGCACCGTCGGATCGTCGTGTCATCGGATTTCGGATGCATGAGACTCCGGCTTAATACTTGAAGTATGAACCAACCATTACAGAGGGGTGGCGCAAATTCAAGTTTCAGGTACCAATTTCTGTTTTATAGGCTTGTTCCATGATTGGTTTTTTAACGTTTTTGGGTATCACTTATAATAATTGCACCATTAAACTTCAAAACGAAATCTTTTGGCGTTTTCGAGATATGAGAGCTTAATTTTGTATGAACGCTGAGGCGCAGCCGTGCCCATACGTGACGTTGTTCCACACATCTTGACTTGCCGCTAATCATCTCGCAATGGGAACAAACCTGAATTTACGTGATTTGGTGTTTTATCATTATATGGGCAAATTTTTTGATTCATTTTCATAAATTGCATTCAGTAGGCGAAAGGTTTCATAAAACTGATGATCTCCCAGAACTTAGTATTTTCATGATTATGAAAATATTAATACATTATATAATATTAGTTTAAAATTAAAGGGATAGAGCTACGAAATATAAGTAAACTTTTTAATTTCTATTCTATTTTCTATTGTTCAAATACCGTATGATCGAAAAAAAAACGGCCTAAACGAGGCTATTAAATGAAAATCAAGAAAAATCCAAGGCAAAGTGTAAAGATTTAAAAACACCTAATGCGATACCAGGATACCACTCGCCCTTTAAACAATCTAACCTCATTGTATACAATTATTGACTTCTATTTTTTGCATTCATATTAAGGTAAAAAAAACCCTGTACTATATAAATAATGTAGTCGTAAACGAATCGGGGGTGCAACTTTCTTCAAGTTGGCAACCGATCGTTTAGAAGCGATGTCGAAGCCACATCGATACTATGTTCATTGCAGTTTTGCAATGAACATAGTATCGATGAGCTAGATATTTGAGCAATATAGTTTTATTGTCGCTCAAATGCTGCGAAATATGGTATCACTATCACACTCTTGCACACGTGTCTAGACTGTCGCCTCGCCACAAAGCGAGAAATCAGAATATCGCTACGAATCGATGTTACTACTGAACATAGTGCATCAACCTACAACTTACTTTGCTATCGCTTTGAAACATGAACAAAGTTGCACCACCGAACCGTTGAATCAAGCGCAGTTGCTAGTAAACAATGTGTGGTGTGACGTAGAGTTTGGCCACACTTCTTTCTCTCGTAGATATTTGTAGATGTTTTTGAGTCCCTAGATGTGGCAATAAAATTAATAATTAATAAAATTATTAAATTGTGAAACAAGCCTATTAGCGTCTAACAGTAATTGTTTTACATAAGTCATATTAAAACTAAACCAATTCTAGTTTCATATTGTGTCTTTATTACAGTTGAACAATATTAAAATAACTTATGTTATTGTGATAGTCTAAGAACTAATATTTTAGTTAATGACAGCAACAGAGAGTAATTAATCTTCATAGGTATCTGCCCATTATTATTACTAGATCATTTGTTAATGTTTTTAAGGTTTTATTCTAAACGTTTTTTCATCTCAAATAATCAACGAATAAAAACAGAGTATTTGAATTGTATATAGGTTTATTTGCGTGGACACATATTCATTTATATGATTTTATTGTAGCTACCCAAGCGGCGGAAGCGGTGGCCCAGGTGGGCCCCGTGGCGGTGCAGCCGGAAGACGTTTCTAGATTAAACGTACTTTTCTCAAAGGGATAACATGAATTGACATACATGCGTGCGCCTTACAATATATGCTCTATATCGTAAGCGGACAATAGAACAAGCGATAACCGTTACTGTCTTCAATTCAGTCAAACTCCCCCACGACAGCGTTTTACATAGTAATTAAGATTTTAATTTTTGGTAGTGTTCATATTTTGTGGTTTAAAATGAATGTATATGTTGAATACAATTACTCTTTTCATGCTAAACGTCGCATTTATGTATAAACTTTTATATCAGGTCATTATCTTCTAACAAAATAACTATTTCTTCAAGAAGTTTATAATATAATCGTAACGTGTTTTTTTTTAAATAAACGAATTCATACAGATACAATCCTTATAATTACCAATACCCAACATTGAAATAACTAAGATTAGTTAAGGCGTTTTATTTCATACACATTTCCAGTATTTTTTGTGAGCTATAAATGTCAAATATATTTTGATGAATAAACGTGCATGCGTGTTTTTAAAAGAACTGTCCAGATTTTAATAAAATAATTGGATATGCATTTATTCCTTTTTATGTTGCAATTGATCTTAATTACATGGTCATGTTATTCTATGAATGCTTACCACATCCAACTATTTCAAGTAAGATTACCATCGTTATTGTTATAATATCGATAATCTAAGGTATTTTAGTTAAATTTTATGAGATCACACCTAAGTTATAAATGTCTTCCTAGAGAAATTAACATTTTTAATAGAGTAACAGGTATTTTTAATAGTCTCAATCATATTTACTGTACTAGCGGAAAATCCCAAATAGTTTTTAAATATTTATTATTTTTTTTATTGATAATAAATGGTTAAGTTATAGAATCAAAAATGTAGTGTTAACTTGAAATATTTTCTAAAATTAAGTGATAAATATGACATTATCTGAAAGATACCATATATGCACAAGAGATAATGCATTCCTAGATTTCTCTAAATAGTGTATATCAATTTCATTTACCGGTCTATTGATATGTAATAATTGTATTTTATTTCCAAAGACGTAATAATTAGTGGATTTATGTTTTTATATGATTTATGTTAATTTGGGCTCAAATTCAATGGTTACAAAGTAAACATACATTCCTATGTGATGTGTGCTTGGTGTACAGGGTGGACCATTTTGGTTGTTTCTATAGGGTATCTAGGAAACCGTGAGAAATATTTTGATACAGCAGTCTCGGGTTCTTTTTAGGGTTCCGAACCCAAAGGGTAAAAACGGGAACCCAATTACTAAGACTTCGCTGTCCGTCCGTCCGTCTGTCACAAAGCTCGATCATATGAACCGTTATAGCTAGACAGTTCAAATTTTTACAGATGATGTATCTATGTTGCCGCTATAAGAACAAATACTAAAAACAGAATTCAATAAATGTTCATAAATAAAAAAGTACTTTCACTAAACATTATCCTTTAAGTAAGAATTTTACATAGAATCTTTCAAGTCCTCAGTGGCCGCATGGGTTAAGGCGTTAGGATGCTACGACGCGACGTTGGAGCCGTAGTAATGCAGGTTCGAATCCTAGTCAAGGCGACTTTTTTTAATGTTTTTTTTTTACATATTTTTACATATTGATTTTTACTTTTTATATATTTATTATTGAATAATACAATTTTTGGTAATTTGTTTCTTCATTTTTTTTTAAATTACTTATACGCGCATTCAAAATTTTAGCTAAATCGAAAAAAAAGTTTATAATAATAGTGTCTAATGTTGTATAGATAATGAATGATACGGAACTCTTCGTGCGCGAGTCCGACTCGCACTTGACCAATTTTTTTGGAAAAATCACAATGGCGCAAACGGATCGTGGTTATCTTGATCGGTTTCGAAGCTAAAAGGGGATTCTCAAATTTTGTACTTTTTGAAGATGTTCGGTAGTTTGTTTATTTCAACAAATACGCAAAAATGAATTAAACAATCTAAAGGCACTTTTCTGAGTAGAATGCAGTGGCGTAGTCAGACTTTTTTCGAAAAAAATTTTTTTTAGATATTAACTATACTTTTGTTTTTTTAAATACAAACCCCTGTATATTTTTAAATTTACTGATTCAGTTTGGCATGGCCTTCTCGAAAATATATAACATATATTTATTTTTACTATTAACTTTAAAATTCCAATTTATTTAAAGATATCGACTTTCCTCTTGGTAGGTCATGCCGAGTATTAAAGGAAACAAGCGAATATCTACTTTCAAATTAATCCATGTATTAGCAATTAAATAAATCCGAACAATACGAAGCAAATAAAAAATAAGTGTGACAGAAACAAAAGAACATATTTTAATACAAACTCAACAGGTTACTTCAATCAGGCTTCTCAGTTAATATAAAAAATAAAACACTAAGACTGCATTAAATGTTCAAACTGCTGCCCATTATTATCTAGACGGAATTGGCACCGCCTCTGCACGCCGCCGCTAACTGCATTTCGAATGTGTATGTTGGTTACACTTTGAAAAGCCATAACAAAACTATCTTGTAACATCCATATATTTTTATATTTTTTTTCCTTTTTCTTGGGAAATTCCAGAGAAAGAAGTGATATCGGGTAACTTAGGTGGCTAGGATTAAACTATTTTCTGACCTTTTAAAAATGGCTGGGTTTGGTTGCTCGCGCTCAAAATATAAATCAGCTGCCATTTGCTTATGTTTGTTAGACTTAATATAACATTCTAACATATTATATTTCTCAAAATTTTCAAATTTACTCATTTTTTTATTATTTAAAATACACACAGTTCAATCTGTTGAAATGAAATGTCACGCATCCATCAAAGGTATGTCCCGATCATCATGACAACCGTTTACTTTGTTACTCGGCGCGGCCTACTACTAACTGTATATTTTAAGAAAAATTTGAAATGCTGAGGTTAATAGTGAAAATAAATATAGAGTGTTATATATTTTCGAGAAACCCATGCCAAGCTGAATCAGGAAATTTAAAAATATACAGGAGGTTCTATTTAAAAAAACAGAAGTATAGTTAATATCTAAAAAAATATTTTTTTTTGGAAAAAATTCTGACTACGCCACTGATAGAAAAGTGCCTTTAGAAAGTACCTTCAAAAAGTACAAAATTTGAGAATCCCCCTGTAGCTTCGAAACCGATCAAGATAGCCACGATCCGTTTGCGCCATTGTGATTTTTTTCAAAAAAAGAACCCGACACTGCAGTATCAACATTTGAATATTTCTTACGGTTTCCTAGATACCCTATAGAAACAACCAAAATGGTCCACCCTGTACATTTAAAAGTTTTAGTTTATATCATTCTTTAATACAAAATCTTTTCGACCTCATATTCTAACATGATACTTCAAATCTATCTTCATATTCAATATTAATTGGCAATTAATCAAAAAAGTACGGTAAATTACGAAAGTATGGAAAAATACACACTGCAATTTTTGTTAGCGTTTTTTGTTTATACCTGTTTTTTTAGGGATTCAACTGGTAATTTAAAAAAAAAGATCCTTAAGACTGGAATATTTAAAATCCTAGAAATTATAAAGTTCCTTCCCAAAAGAACACCGATTCGATCGTCTTACCAGCGCTGTGTTAAGTTAGGCATTTCACAGTGATCGGCTTTGGGTCTCGATTTCCATGTGTAAGAAAAATTCAGTTAATTTTTCCAGTACATTGAAATATACTGGCATGTACAAAAGCGTCGCGTTATTTGATTATGTAATAAATATCGTCGTATTTTTCTCTCCAACTTACACAGTACCTTGGAGATTCACTCCCAGACATGTAAATTTCGACTCAAGATCTTCTCTTGCCGATCCTGTATCTTTTACATTTCCTTTTGTTCATTCTTGGTTAGCAGGACTAAATTCCAACACTGATTCTATTTCCTTTCATAACTGACCATACTAACGCATAATGGTGAATTCATTTACAAAATTTGCAGTACTTTTTTGATGAATGAAAACAAATAGACCAAAAATAAGTCTCAGTGACTTTAAAGATAAAGTCCATTGATTAGTAAACTTTGTAATGTTTACTGTAGTATTGCAGAAGAATAATCGTGTGCTCTTCATACCATTCGTGTGGAGAACCACACACTATGAATTTACATTCTAGCTATTAGAGGACAAGTCTTTTTATTTGGAATATGCACGCAAAAATAGCAATAGGTCCCAACGCCAAAGATCACGCCCGATTTTAACAACATAATGCGAGGCAAACAACGGAGATGCTCAATAAAAAGTCGAATACGCTCCATTGCGCAACTAGGTATTATGCGGAAAAAAGGATTTAATAAAATGCGGAGCGGAAAGCAAGAGCTGCGCCTACGACGAAGATTTATCCACAGAGCGAAAACGCACTAGACCAAGCAATTAATCAAGATTTCAGTACTATATGCGCGCATCCTTGTTTGCCTATACCGTACGCATTCACGCCAGCATTCGTCAACACGACTTAAAACGCAACAAAGGTATGTCTTCGTTTAACTAAGTTTGTTTAATAGATTTGAGTTAGCGCAGGATCGGTAATATCACATAATATGTCACGTTCTGGCTAAATGTCTAGCTTTTTTTCATTAACGCGCCAATCTCTAAGCATTGTTTAAAAAAAACTCATTAAAATAAAGGCATAGTATGAATTTTGAAGCAGCTACCTAAGTATATATTTACCAATTTCTTGTTATCCAGCCGCACAACCACACATCAATGTACAGATTATAATATAACCTATACTAAATCGCCGAAGAACAGAAAAATGCATAATTTTCCTTTTGGATTAAATTAAAATGACACACCACTGAACATTTACAGTCATACCTTCTTTCGACCGATAACATAGAAGTACAACTTTCGCTGAAATTGTGTGTTTAATTCCCACTAGCATCCATAACATCAGCTAAGTGTAGAAGTTTGGATACCGATATCGACTTATATAAGTACTGAACAAGTATATCTGTATATTTTCAAGAGTTTGCGTAGTAGTTGCTGCTGCTCATATACCCTTTTCACCGCTGAGTCATCTACTGACAATTTATTTTATCTATAAAAAGAAAAAAACTAGAACGTCTATAAATACGTACCGAATAAGATTTTCTTAAGATTCGCAATGCCTTTCTAAAGCACCGACAGGCCTCACTGTAACAAACTATGTTAGGTTTGGTCGTTGCATAGCGTAGGAGCTATGCGACGAAGGTCCTTTAAAAAAGTATTTGTTGTAGCAAATGAAACTACTAATTTGTATACTAATCTCTCAAAAGTACGTTGACGTACGTTAATGTAAAGAACCATATATGTTATATTCTACAGGGTTATATTCTAAGTCTTAAATAAGGGCAAGTATTTCCATTGGTAGATAGATCTCCGTAAAAGAAATATATTTTTTCTTAACCTAGTTATTTTATTTTGAAAATTTGTAGAAAAAAATGTCCACATTTTGAAAACTACCGGATTTTATTTGTTTTTTTGTTCCTCTAATTTTCATATACTACCTATATAAATATTATCAAGATATTAAGTTATTTAATTGAAATTTTTAAATAAGTTGCAAAGATTGTCCAATTGTCCAAAAAAAAAATTTGGTCTTTTATTTTATATTACCTATTTGGAACATTTGAAATTGTTTAAAAAATTACGATGTACTTAAACAGCCGTTAAACGGTAGCCTACTAAAATGCCGTTAATAGATATTGTGACGTCGTTTATGTCGGCGGAAAGTAATGCCCGGTTATAAGCATTTTGCAAGAGCACCTGTGGCTCCGTGGCTAAGGCTATCGCTTCGTGAGCGGATGGTCCGTTCAAATGGTTCAAATCTCACGCCGACCAAGACTTATATTTTTTTGCTTATAGCGTGATCTTATTGCATTGGTGTTACTCTTTTTGGTTGGATTGGTTTAGTTATTTGGCCGGTTGGTTAGCGTAGTTATTTGGAGGATGTTAGTTCATTGGTTAGTTGGTTATTTGGCGGGGTTGCTTGGTTTTTACTAATTTATATTTGTTTTTTATATTTTTTTTATCAGTGTTGAGGTTAGTTGCGTTGGTTTAGTTGGTTATTTGGTGGGGTGGATAGCGTTGGTTAGTCCTTATAACATTCCTATATTTCATAAAGTCGTCAAGTGGGTCACATCAACGACGTCATACCTATTAACGGCATTTTAGTAAGCTACCGTTTAACGGCAGTTTACGGTAGCTTACTAAAATGCCGTTTTAAATTTTGTCTCTCAGATACGAAATGGATAAATAATATAATAATATAATATAATATATTTGTGCCTCGCCTGTACGTCGCACTCGCTAACGCTTCTCCGTCAAACCTACAGCCTTGCCACAAAAAGTATAATTTTTACTCCTAATAAAACAATATACATACTCTTTAAAAAAATTCAAAGTATATATATATATATATATATATATATATATATTATATTATATTATTATATTATTTATCCATTTCGTATCTGAGAGACAAAATTTTATGCCCTACATCGATAATGCTTTGAAATAAACTAAATCGCTGCTTACTACTTGCCATTCAGCACCGAAAGAATATGTGCCCTGCGTACACAACTTACTGCTTGGCGCTTGGCGTTAACGAGTACTTACAACACGCGACGGACGAAAACCCGTATTTTTAAATACCAGTGATATTTCGCTCGAGCGATCACTCGGTTATTGCAATCGCTTGAAACTCGAGTACTCGATTATTGAAATTAATCGGGTTTTCCCATCACTAATCGAAATATATCACTCCTAAAAATATTTGCACTTATATATAGCAGATCAAATTCAGATCAGTTGTGTAAGATCTTTATTGCAGTACTTTTTGCAACTTTTCACCTGAATGTTTTGTATTGCGTTTTAATTTAACCCATTTAACTCATTGTTCAGTTCTATTGTTCACTTATATCGGGTAGGAATGCCCTAAAACATCAGTACCGGTACCGACAATTAGACCGGTAGAACTGAAATATCGGATGTGCCAAATCGGTTAGCAATACCGGTTAGACCACAACGTCTTGCGATCTGCGATGCACTTTTACAATTAAGCGGCATTTCCGTTGCCAATAAAAATAAAATGAAAATACATGAAAAAATCTAACCAATATTTTACAGAAATACGAACCTATTATAATAATATGTTAACAATAGAGGTGGAGAATGATGAAATCAGTTTTGCGCAAGTATTGGTACATTTCAGTAATTTAAGATTCGTTTTTCTTGATTACAGGATTACCGCTTTGAACCGTTATTCTAGTACCTTTCTATACCGGTTTTCTGTTTTTCTTGCATCGGTCTTCCGGTACCGATAGGAACCGTTCTGTTTCTGGTATGAGTACCTATACCGATTTTGTAACTAAAAATACCGTTACGAAAACATTTCAGAAATACCGTTATACCGGAAAACTGAACATACCAGTGCCGTAATTTTGCTTAATATAATGAACTAGATTCGGAGACCGATTCATTGATGTGTGGCTGGTTAACTACTTCAATTTATAGTAAATAGAACAGTTCTACTGCAAATTATGTGTAAAAATTATCCTGGACTAATGCACGACGTAGACCCTAAGATTAATATTACTGCTATCGCTATTTCGACGTTTTTCGAGGTCACAATTTAGTTGTAAAAATTACCTCTTAGTAATGCTAAGTTGAGTCTAAACCGTTGTGTCCAACATCAACTGTTGAAACTGAATAAAAAATGATTTTTGAATTAGATACATCGCACAAAAACATTCACTGCATTTTGTTTATGAAAATATTAGAATTTAAATAAACAACTTTGATTGATTTTACAAGTAGTAACTATTTGAGAACAGAGTCTGAACAGAGCGAGTTTGTTAAATGAAATACTCTATACTACTCATCATATGTATATCAGATATCAAACTAGCATTACGATGATAGGAGTTATTCTGTAATATGAAATGTTGATGTAAAATTAATCCAGAGTCGTCTATCATGCATCATTTCAAAAATTAAATAACGGTATTTTTACATGAAATATATGACAAAAACTATACTTTTTAAATCTAAAATGTTAATAACCTAAAATTACGCTGTGTCGGTTAAATTGTAAATTTCAACTTTTTATAAGCGCTTCAGGTTTATGTCTTTGTTTTAAACGTTTATAGGGAGTTATATGTTTTATTAAATGATAATATATATTAATTGTTTTATAGCTTGGCAACTTGAGGAAATTGAACCAATGAAACATTGAATGGTGTTTGCTCAAACTTTATTTCCAACCAATATTCTGCTTCCACTGTAGACAGGTATTGGTTTTAGAGTTACCTAATAATTGTTTGTCTGATTTTTCTGTTATTTTGCAGGTACTCCTAAAGAGAACTTAAAGAAGAAACGATTAACATGGGCCAAAGGATAATCGTGACCTGAATATCCAATACTGATTCTGAGACATACATGAACTCATTATTTCATCTTCCTTATGGTACATATTTTTTTATTACAAAATTGTTTTAAAGGCTATTTTAATAAATAATAACAATTTAAAGTGTATTACTTCATTTTATTCAACCTCAGTAAGGAATTTGTCCAGTTTGTGGTCCATTGTAAGTGCCCATTACATCTCTAGCTTCATACTCATCTCTCTCTAACTCTTCATTAGCTGCAGCTTCCAGTGCAATCCTCCTTAGTTCATTCATTACAGCAATTTCTTCAGCGTGTGTTATCATGTCTATTACAGCTGCTTTTGCCTCTTCCTCAACAAATTTATGCTAATAATAAAAAATGCCTTCAAACAAATTTATAACTTTATAGTAGGTTAACAATAATATATGTTATATACAGGGTCGCTGATATGTATGGGAACGGTCGATTATTAGGTAAAATATAACCGCAAAAAGTTAAATATAAAAGTTATAGGGTTTTTAAATATCTATTAGCGGGTAATAAATTTAAGTATACAGGGTCGGTCATAAAGTTGTGGAACATCAAAGTTTCATTTTTTTAAATGGAACCCCCTGTATATTATTGCATATTTCGGTACTTCCTTCAATTCTAAGTAAAAAATCGAGATACCTACAATGTAACTCAAACCAACCGTTTTCGAGTTATTGACTTTTGAACATACACTTAAACAATTTGATTTAATTAATTTCGATATGTTCAGTTTCATTTAATAATGCCATTCTGACGAAACTTTGATACTGTTGTAATGGGTTTTTAAATGACTATTAACTACTAGAAAATTTAAGTATACAGGGTCGGTCATAAAGTTGTGAGTTGTGACACATCAAACTTTTTTTTTTAATGAAACTCCCTGTATATTATTGCATATTCAGAAAATTCCAATAACGGGTAAATAAATATTTGTATTGCCATCATATTATTTTACGTAAATATATAATTTTAACAATAATCTTAAAACCCTAATGCAAGACACTGGTGCGGTCAGAACTATATTGTCCCTTTTTTAACGAGGGGTTTATGACGGTTATATTTGGGTTTTTATTGCCCTATTGTTAACGTACCGGATGTGTCCATCTAGAAACGTGTTAAAGCTGTCTGAATTTCATTGAAAGATATACCCTTAGAATGAAATTGGTACTATCTTTTGGCGTGTGACACTACACAAGAAAACGCCTTTTGCAGTTATAATGAGGGTGTTGTGCTCTCAGGTTTTTAGAAACAGAGTATAGTGAAAACCAAAGACAGAATATGTGACAGCTCTCTGCCGTCCTAATTCTGTCAATTCTTATGTGTCATCTGTCGAAATCGCCCCTTCTTCCTCCTGGGATGGACTGATAGTTTATTTTACCTAGGAATAATATTTACCGACCCTATACTAAAACCTGTGCTTACTAACCCATTTTTCTTGAGCGATTTGCATTCTGATTTTATTCAAATTGTCAATCTCCGCGTCGTTTATGTATTCAGTTTGTTGGTTATATCTGTACTTAAAAAGCCAATGTCCTAGATAATGGATGGGATCTCTTGGCTGCACTGCGGTAATTTCGGCCAACGCTAGCGTTAAAGGCTTTCCTAAACACTCTTTTAAATAATTAACATCTTCAGATGACATTTTACTAATGTTGGAAACGTCGGATTTGTCTAAAAATAAACTTGTCTAATATTTGTATACAGGGTGTTTCAAAAAACATGTGCCATCTCTCGGGGGGAGATAAAAATAAGATTTATTTTTTATATCAACATAGGTTCGATTCTGCTTCGTTTCGATTTATTATAATTTTCTTCCAAATGCTTTTAGCGATTCGAATGAAATGTTGAGGGTAAAAGTTACATAAGTATTTGGTTTGGTTAGGTTATATTACATATTTTAATGCTAAAAAAGTGTCGACCTATTCACCAGGAACGTGCATATGGGTTATTACTGGAATATTTTTCTAAAATAAACATGTGCGCCACTGCCTTTTTTTTTTCTTATTAGCAAAATTGTGAACGTCGTGAATTGCATCTTGATATTTTGTCGCTTTCGATCCCTTGATGAAATAAACGCAATTTTTTTTAATTTGCCTTGATCCAAGTTTATAGCAATCTTTAAACTTTTTAATGTCATTAACTAATCAAAGCGTTAAATAAGTTTTAAGTGATTTCTCATCAAAAAAATATGAAAAAAGTTCCTAAACATGGGTACGAAAAAGCTTGTAATTATCTTAAATATTATTTTGTTTGTGAATTTGATGTAGATAGCACTGAACATTAGTGATATAAGCTTTAATAAAATTTAGTAATAAATGAGATTAAATAATTAATTTATTAATATTTTATTTTCATTTTATTAATAATTTTGATTAACATCAAGAAGATCGAAATCGACAAAATATCAAGATACAACTTTTAATCGCCATTAAGCGACCTAGATGATTTTGCTAACAAGAGAAAAGAAAGCCATTGGCGCGTTTTTTTTTTCAGAAAAATATTCAGTTATAACATATATGCACGTCCCTGGTGAATTTGTTGACAGTTTTGCAGGATTAAAATATGTAGCACTTATAGTAACTTTTACACTCAAAATTTCATTCAAATCGCTCAAAATATTTGGAGGAAAATTATAATAAATTGGAAAAAAAATGAAGAATTAAACCCCTGTAGCTACGAAATGAAGCATAATCGGACCTAGTGGCTAATACAGAGGGGGGGCCCCTCCCCTTAAAATCTACAAAATTAGATTAAATATTAGGCTTTTGTGTTAAAAATAGCGCACTAAAAAGCATATTCTATATTACTTTTTATTTGGGCCTCCCCTAAAATAAATTCCTGTATCCGCCCCTGATCGGACCTATGTTGATATGAAAAATAAATCTTATTTTTACATGAGGAATCACCCCACGAGAGATGGCACATGTTTTGAAATACCCTCTAAATAATTAGAAAATAGGAGATACCGCTTTGACTTAGGACGTCTCCGGTAATTTGCATATTAGATTTCAGTTCCTTAAGCATATCCGGGTTCAAATTATCCAACAATTTTGAAGATTTGGCATCGATGTATGATAGCGCTATACCTTCATCGTTTACTAATAGTCCAGATTGTAATAATTTAAGACCACGTTGTTGTAAAAGTGCTAGAAAAGTAAAGGTACAGATATCGTTATGAACCATTTTAGGAATTATTATATAGGGTAGGGCAAGAGTACGCGTTATCTATGAGAAAAAATTCTGATTTCCACTTTGAAAGTCAAACGACCCGTGTGCGGACGGTCTTAAGCCCCGTTCTCAGAACTGCGACTGTCGCCAGCGACACGACAAAAGAACCAATCAGATTTGTACAAAATTCAAACAGCTGTCAATTTTAAATTTAGTACAGCTCCCATTGGTCGTTTGAAGTGTCAATCAGTGTCGCTGTCGACACGACGCAGTTCTGAGAACGGGGCTTTAATGGTATAAGCTTGGTGCATTCTCCGCCGGTGCTGCCACCATCGGAGAATATCGTAAACAACTAGTACTTACAAATACACGGGTTTAAATAGCGAGAATATATGAAAACTTACTATTTAATTATTCTAAAAGTGTTAGAAAGTATACTTTGTAAAAATTCTAAAAATTAAAATAAAAAAGTAAATATTTTAATATCTTCAGAGGGTCTAACTTATTAACTAGAAGACTCTTCAGAAGGTCTAAATTAATAACGTATTATAATTTATTATTCCCGTTAAAAAAACTTTTTAGATGAGTTGTTCATCTACGGATGATTAAAACTACGCGAACATAGTTTTAATCACCTGTTTTGCTAGTGGGGCATAATTGGAGCTATTTCGGCTATAACGAAATTTAAGGTACATAATTATAATTTTAGAAGATGTTCATAAAACATTTAATCACTAGTTGATTAAAAAAAGTATACCATTAATATTGCAAATTATATTTTATCCTCTTATAGTATATTATGTCTATTTATTTTTTTGATTATGTAACGAGCACTTTGTTTACTCACTTGTTTCGTCGAACTGCTTGAATCCATTTTTGCTTTTGATCAAATCGGTGTGAGAAACTATGAAGCTACAAAATGTTTCAGGAGAGTAACTAGCAAAAAAACTAAAATACTTAAATAGTATGACAAAACCACGATTTCAATATTATTTTAATGCAATCAACATGTCGGCGGCGTGAAATACATAGGTACTGATAATTTCTGACTTTTGCCGTTGGCTGCGGTCGAAATTTGTTGATATCAACTGAAATGCACCAAGCCTATACTTTTTTTTATCAACTAGTGATTATGTTTTATGAACCTCATTTTTAGAATTTTCACAAATTATACTTCCTAACACTTAGAATAATTATACGTAATCTTGTATAATACATTAATTGTATAATAAACTTTTCATATACTCCCTATTTAAACCCATGTATTTGTATATATCAGTTGTTTACGATATTCTCCGATGGTGGCAACACCGGCGGAGAAGGCGCCAAGCCTATAGGTAGTAGATTAAATTTAAAAAAAGAAAACCCAATGGGTCCAATAGGGTTCTCAAAATGTAAGCGAAAAAATATTATTTTTAATTTTTAAAGTAAAATAACTCGGTTATTTCGTTATTTTATAGTTATTTAAAAAACGGTAAAGAGAAAATATATTTCTTTTATAGAGATCTACCAGCCCTGAAAATATTTGCATTTATTTAAGACTCACCCTGGTATAAAGGATGTCCAATGAATAGTGGAAGATTTCAACAGACATCCAATAAATGACAAAAAATAGGATTTGGCCTTTGATTTAAAATGACAGACAATTGTCATGTAACCTCTCTATAGACAGACTTTACTTATTTATACCGTTTAATCGAAAAAAACGGCGTCCAGTTGGCTTGGAAAAGAAATTCGTTGACATTTATTCATTAGATACAGAAATAACTTTGTCGTTTTTCACTTAGATACGTGGTTGCTCTTACCTACCTCAAACCTCAGAAAAAAATGAATGGTAAATAAAACAAAATTAGTAGTTAAGTACATTTCTTTACATCATATTTAACAACAGTGTTACATGTTTTTGTAGTAATATTACACATATATCTTTGAAGGCGCATATTGTATGTTGTATGCTACCTGATATTTTCTCTTCTAAATACAACACTTTCCACCCGGTAGTTTGGAGTTCAGTGTATTTGTCGAGGTCTGCCTTGAAGTCATTAATTTCTTTTGAAAATTTCGAAGAAGTTACGTTGCTTGCGGAATCGCCAGAAATAGATTTTTCAGCTTCAATCAAAAGTAAGAGTTTGTTAAGTCCCTTAGAAAATAATTCTAAATGTTCGTCCATTTCCTGAACAGCTCTTTCGTAGGCTTTTTGAGCATCCTAAAGCATTGAAGAAATAAAAATAGTGTACTAGCTTAACCCTGCCCGGCGAGAGAAGGGACGATTTTGACAGACGGCATCGAACTTTGATAAAAAAAATAGTTTTAAGTTAAAATCGCAGGTTAAAATGATACAGAACTGCTACTGTCATATATCTTTCCACACACTGTAAAGCCTGCTCAAAAATACCTGACAGTTGTCTGTCATTTCATTTTGCAGTTAAATTGTTTTTAGTGTAATTTTTTTGGATGTCGTCTGTCGAAATCTTCCGTAGCTTGTTGGACAGACTATATTCGCTTTAATGAAATAATATAGTAGTAGGAATAGTACAGAAAACCAAATGAAGACTTGAAGTAAATATTGTACCAAGTGCCAAAATCATTCAATCATCATATATTTCGAGGAAACTATTTTTTTCCATAACCAATGTATAAGAATGGGCGGTGTCTCTGTTGAATTTTTTTTTAATACAATTTAATAGTCGTGGCACTTGGCACTTGCACACAGTGATTTCATAAAGTTCTATAGGCTTGGTGCATTTCAGTTGATTTTAAAAATTCCGACCGCAGCACTCAAAGAAATTTGGTAAAAATCAAAAGTTTTCGCTTTGTATTTCACACAGTTCCGATGTTGATGTTGGCTTTGTTATAATTTTTTTAAGTAAGTACATATTTTAGTTTTTATTAGTGCAGTTATTGAAACTATAAAACACTCAGGTACGAGGTTTGTGTGATGTAACGCTGTTTCGGGTAGTAAGAAGACATTTTAAAGCACGGCCAAAGACGTAGACGTAAACGTATCGTTTGACATGTACGCTTGCGCAGTGAGAAATTCACTTGCGTTTACGGATACGTGATACGTATCTTTACGTGCCTTTACGTACGTACAAAACGCAAACATATCGAGCCGAAGGAGTTTCGATTTTCACCCGAATGATGCCGAACGTACAAATTCACAAACAACTCGTTTCCACAACTGGCTAGTAATTAAGTTATTTCATAAATTTTGGGGCCAGTGTCACAGAACTGGGCCTATTTTATTACAATAAATTAGTATGAAAATACCTATTAAGCAGCATAATAAACTCATTTTGGAATCTATTTAATTAAATGCTAGTTCTTATAGCCAAAATCCATATGAGGATTCTAAAAGATGGGATCTAATAAATAATCATAAAGCTGTGTCTGTTCTCTAATATTTTTTTTATTACGAAATTACGAAGAGCATTTTAAGTTGTAAGGACTACTTTCTGTAATAAAATAATTTCCATTTATAATTTTCTTCATTTTTCGATATTACTTTTATAAATTTAATGTGGAATCAATGGAATAATAGATATCCATTTTCAATTTTAAAATTAAATAAATTGTTTCACAAAATAATTTAGAATTACAAATGTACTATTTGCGTTACTTACGTCAAAATACTTGCTTTAACTCTTGTTTACACGACAACACAACGGCAGACGTAACGTAAGTTTCTGCGTTACGTGTCGAGAGATACGTATACGTATTGTGCCTTGCTTTAACTGTCTAGAATGAAGGGAAAAAGAACCCGAAACCCTTGACTGAACACCAAACTAATTCTTTCAATCAACGCCGAAACTGAGCGTCGCTTTATGTTGTGACAATTTCAAACGTTAATAAAATTGTCGAAAAAAATGTTAACACGTAAAGGAGGGCATAATGGTCGTTGGGTGCAATAACATTCAATAACTCAACATTCCCGGATATTCAACTCTCCCGAAACTACATTTTATGCTGCGCAGCTTCTCACACCGATTTGATTAAAAGCAAAAATGTTCGACAAAATAAGCGAATAAACAAAGTGCTCATTACATAATCAAAAAAATAAATAGGCATATACTATGAGAGGATAAATTATAATTTGCAATATTAACAGCGCTTTCAGATGGAGCGGAGCGTCCGCGACGGACCGTCCGTCATGTTTTTTTCAAGATAGCCGTCTGACGAACTCCGTCGGACGGAGCATACGCACCCATGTGAAATTGTTCATATAAACTCATGGTACTTGCTCGAAGTCGCGGACGCTCCGCTCCATCTGAAAGCGCTGTAATGGTATACTTCTTTTAATCAACTTTGCTTATTTTTTTATGAGCATTTAAAATTAAATTTATGTACCTTTAAAAATAATCGTTATAATCGAAATAGTCCCAGTTATGAGATCGGGGAAGTTAACAACTCATTGAAAGCAGGAATTATAAAATACGATCCTACTTGGGCTGCTACAATCCTGCTTCAAATCCCAACCCAGCCACACCTACCAATTTTGAGCTATAGTTATTACTTTTATTTTGGTTGCTGACTTCCCAGTTGGCAACACATGAGAAGCAGGATCGCCAAAACTGGTTCCTGCTTGCGCTGCTATACCCCTGTTGCATCCTGCTCTAAATTTCATCCCAGCAACACTTGCTGTTTTTAAGATACAGCAAGTTCATAGCAACACAATAAAAGCAGGATGGCTGAAACAAGTTCCTGCTTTTGCTGCTATAATACTGCCTCATTCTGCTTCAAACCCTATACCAGCCACTCTTGCCGTTTTTGAAATACAGCAAATTTCGTTTTGATTACTGGAAATCGGGAATTGGGGGAGTTTTCCAATTTACATGATTGGAAAACCTGTAAAAGATCAAATATAGAATGCTTCTAATGATTCATTTCACAACGAGACTGCCAGTAAATTACGTAAGAATACACATGGGCAGGGGCGCAACTAGACATACTTTTAGGGGGGCTTAACTCTTTTGGGGGGACTTAGGTTACTATAAGATAATATTGTTGTGAGGTTAAAACCAATTTTATACGACACGCACGGGTTATATGGGGGGGCTATCCCCCCCGCCCCCCCCGTTGCCCCTCTGCCCCTGGTTGCGCCTCTGCCCATGGGCTCATTGGAGATGTAAACTGAAAAAAAGAACATTAAACAAATATCTGTGAAAACTGAACTTTTTGTTTAATAAAACTGAAAACTGTTTTATTAAACAAAAAACTAAACTGAATATAAAAGTAAGTGCGCGTTAACTACGCAAGAAGCCGATGTATTGCGAAATTCTTTGTCGCAGTCATTAAACACTTCCCACTTCCTATCAATTTTCCTGCAATACGCAATATAGTGTCCAATGGCAGTGGGATCGGTAAAGATTGGCTTCTCGATGTGACCTACAGACCTTAATATATATTCTACTGACTGTATTTGAATTGTTAGCAGAATTTCCGTTTAGGCACAATATGCCTTATCGCAATCTATAAAAATGAAAGGTCTGAATGTGTAAACTGATGTTATTGATTTTTTACAACTATTACAAATTACTGAGCGATCAAAACTTTCGAAACACTTTGACAAACTGGAAAAAAAATGCTCGTTTAAATTTGTTGTTAAATAGGGGGAATTAATCGCTACCATGAGATCCACAATGCTGACAGGTCATATCTTCCACACCACAGTGTAAATTGTCAAGAAACGCAGTTGGAATATAAGCAATATTCTTTCGGATGTCAGACTAAAAACTCTAGTTACCCCTGAGAACACTGAACCTACCTTATTTTGTTCAATTGTTTGGAATGATTATTTATGGCTTGGAAGCTTATACAAATTTTAGGCAAATAAAGCAAAAAAATAGCAGCCTAAGCTGAAACTTGTCAAGTTACAAAAAATCATTCCTAATCTTAATGTGCGACTGATTACCATGCAGGAATCGATTCGTTCTATTTTAAAAACGGCAAGAGTGGTTGGTATAAGGTTTGAAGCACGATAAGGCAGGATTATAGCAGCCAAAGCAGGAACTTGTTTCAGCCATTCCCTGCTTTTATTGTGTGACGTTACCAATCAGACTTAAACTTGCTGTATCTTAAAAACAGCAAGTGTTGCTGGGACGAAATTCGCAGCAAGATGCAACAGGGGTATAGCAACGCAAGCAGGAACCAGTTTTGGCTATCCTGCTTCCCATGGGTTGCCAACTGGGAAGTCCAAAATAGAAGTAACTATAGCTCAAAATAGGTAGGTGTTGCTGGGTTGGGATTTGAAGCAGGATTATAGCAGCCCAAGCAGTATCGTATTTTATAATTCCTGCTTTCAATGAGTTGTTCATTTCCCTCACCTCCAGTTATGTCCCCTTTATGCGTAAAACTATGCTGCTACCGTAGTTGACTCGTCTAAAAAGTTTTATTAGCTTGAATAATAAATTATAATACAAGTTAAATCTTCTGAAGATATCAAAATATTTACTTTTTTATTATTTATATTTTTAGAATTTTCACAAATTATACTTCCTAACACTTTTAGAATAATTTTATAATAAATTTTTCGTATACTCGCTATTTAAACCCGTGTACTTGTATATGCCGGTTGTTTACGATATTCTCCGATTGTGGCAGCACCGCCGGAGAATGCACCAAGCCTGGAACATTTTACAAATAAAACATAAAAAAGCGTTTTTTTGGCACTTAGATCTCTGCCTACATTATTTAATTAATGTCTTCAAATGTAGTGTCAGACAATTTTAATAGTTAACCAAGACTTATAATCAGTGTTTTTTTAAGTATACCACAGTATAAATATCTAAGATACATCCTATAATAACGATATACTTACAATTTTCTGTTCCTTAAGGCTTTCCAGCTCATTTTGATGATTTTCCTCTAACTTTGATATTTCATCTGTAATTTCGACGACCTCCAAAGCGATCTTCGAGTTTTCGGGGCCTTGTTTTGACGTCTCAATTAATTTTTCCTGTCTACTTGTAAGCTTATCGAATTCCGTACGGAACGTGTACTGTATCTCATACATTTTATAATTCAATATATTCATAATTAATTCCGTTTTCTCTACTATACCAATATGTTGTTCTAAATAGCGTTTCGTATTTTCTAAATCTTGTATGATTACATCGTGTAAGTTTTGTATTTGACTGATATCACTAGTTAAAAACAAGTATAGTAATATAATATGCTAAGAGGATTTTCTTTAAAAGAATAACTTTTTAAGAGACTTGATGTAAATTGGCAAATTGTTGCATTTTATATTATAAATAGATATTCTCCAAAAAAAACCTATATGGGTATTTCGCCACTGCAAGAATGAACCCGCCACATAGGTATAGACGTGGTATAGACATTTTTTAAAATAGATATCCTATTTTAGCAATACAAATATATTTAATTATATAAATCTAATTGAAAATAATATACTTTTACTACTTTAGGTTCAAACTTACTCAGGTATTTCAATATCCTCTTTGTCAATAGTTTTTAGAGACAAAATAGATTGACTTGCATCAAATTCTCTTATAATTTCATTCATAAGAGAAGCTACATCATCAAACACACTCATTTTGATGAAATATGACAATACACATTTTATTACCTGTCTAATAAAGATAATGTCCTTTCTCTTGTAATGATTGATGGAACTTTTGATTGTTTATTTGTTAGAGGAGTCAGAGGTGGAGTATAAAATCTAATTCTCTGCTTTATGTGTTCAAGCTTTATTAGAATCTCATTTTTCACTTTATAAAAAATATCACAAATTTGATCAATTTCCGCTATTTGCTTTTTTAAGGTTTTAATTTTCATTTCTTTAAATTTTGAAGCCATAACAAATAAAATGATGTAAATTTAAATTTAATTTTAAATGTAAATTTTGACTTTTGAAGTAATCAAATGGAATAGGAAAGGATTAGGCAACTAATAATTCTAATACATTAAAAATTTAAAATAAATAATATACAAAGGTATTACATATTAAAAACTGAATAAAAATAGTTTAGTACTATAGTAATATTTTTCTTTTAAATTATGGAACAATAGGATCACTTCCCTGTTTATAAGGTACAATTTTATGGTCAGTTTCTCCCCAAGACTTATGAATTTCTGTATTACAGGAGCTACAGTAAAGATCATTACTGCAGTCTAAACACCTGTATACAGCATCATTATTACAAATAACACACCAAGGTAATTCTGGGGAAGATCTTAAATCATCATCTGTTGATTTTTTAAATGTATCTATAGGACATCTCTCATCCAAAGATACTTCACCAACAATCTATAAATATATTTGTAAAAAGTTAAGTTAAATATTCTAAGATCATATTGTGTAAATATACCTTTCTTGTAATTTTATCAATTTCTTCTTCTGAGTCTATATCAGCATCATAAGTAATTTTGGGTTCAGGTTCTTTTGTTTTTTCTCCTTTTAGAGCTACCAATCTTTGGATTAAATCATTAGATGGATCGTAAAACTTGTTAATGTTGATTTCTGATCCAAATTCTTCAAGTAATGAGTCTACTTTTTCTTGGTCAGATCTCATATCAGGAGCATAATTCTAAAAAGTTTCCTAAATTTAGAGAATTAGATATATTTTTATATAGATTCATATTTACCAATTTTGTTTCTTTTGAAAAGTCAATATTACTCCCTTTTAATTTTGCAAGTCTTTCTCTTATTTCAGTATCAGATGGAGGAACTGTCTGCTTTTCTTTGAGTTTTGCTAATCTATCAGCAATGTCTTGATCAGCAGATGACAAACCATCCTTTAGTTTGCTCAATCGAGGATCATCCTTATATACTGTTATGGGAGGGGCTGCTGGATTCTCTAAGTTTTCTAAACGTCTATTGAGGTAAATAAAGATTTAAATGGGGTCTGTAAGTTTTTTAAGCTTTTTCTTGCCAAACATACTTTAAGTACTTATCTGGAGGATAAATAACATTGCTGGTGTTAGCCTCAGTAGTTAGTTTTTTGTAACATGGATTACAAACTTTAAATAAGCCACTGCCTTTTGATGGTATAATACATTTTTGCTTCAAACAATTACTGCATAATGAAATCCCACAATTTGAACAGCCCAACTAAAATTAAAAATATTTATTTTATCTTGAATGCAGTTAATTCTTTAGCAACATCTAGAACGCTGCTAAAGAATATATAGCAGTTATCTAGAATGTAGTTATTCTACCTCTTTATGAAAAAAATTAAACTTAGTGCTACAATGGGTACACGACATTTTAATATTTGTTGAAGCTAACTATTAAATATTAATATTACTTTATTCTTTTCTATGTCATTAATATAATCTGATATAATTATATATATATAATTATGGTATACTTTTAAAATAATAATTAATTTCCAATATTAGTGTCAAAATCACAGAATACCACAGCAGAATACAGAATATACCACGAATATACTGTCAAAATCAGCTGTCGCACAAAACAAAACTTCAACAAGCCCCGTTCTCAGAATGACGTCGTGTCGCCAGCGACACTGATTGACACTTCGAACAACCAATGGGAGCTGTACTAAATTTAAAATTGACAGCTGTTTGAATTTTGTACAAATCTCATTGGTCCTCTTGACGTGTCGCTGGCGACAGTCGCTGTTCTGAGAACGGGGCTTTGAAGCCCCGTTCTCAGAACAGCGACTGTCGCCAGCGACACATCAGAAGAGCCAATCGGATTTCTACAAAATTCAAACAGCTGTCAATTTTAAATTTAGTACAGCTCCCATTGGTTGTTTGAAATGTCAAACTGTGTCGCCAACGACACGACGCAGTTCTGAGGACGGGGCTTGAGAACGGGGCTTTACCCGTCCCCTCTCTTTCCTTGTTTAAGCTAGAGATAGAGAGCATTATACTCCTTCCTTAATCTTTTTATTCAAAGATTGTAATAGAAATTACAGAACGTAAAGAGAAAGAAATAAAGAAAATATCATTAAATAAAAAAAAAGTTAAAAAACCAACAGGACTTACATTTTCTCTTTCGGCATACTTGTTGCTAATGTAATCTTCCGGGGTCATACCAAAACTAAACAAGGATCTGCCGTCATTTGAACTTCTGAACTCTTCAGACAGAGCCAGGATTTCCTCCTCAATCTTCGGTATCATTTTTGACAGCTTATTTCTCTCTTTTTCCTCCTGTAATAACTTGCCACCCCTATTTTTATACCTATTCGGACCAGTGGCATTCTCCTCCAATTCAATCATCCTCTCCCACAACTCCTTGTGTTTTTCCAGCAATTCCAGAAGCTTCCCGTTCTCCCGGTAGTAGTCCTTCCATTTCTGGATCTCCATCTCGTGCAGGTCCAGAAGGTCTTCAGTGTAACAATCGGATTTGTAATAAGGGAATAGCTTTTTCTCTGAGTCGGTTTTGTGACATTTTAGCCAGATTTCTTCCAGTTGCTGTCTGAGTTTTTCTACAAACACCTAGACAAAAATAATAAAATTATAAATTTAATCAGTCCGGCAATAGTGCGTGGGATAGTGATGACGCTTTGGAACAGGATCTGTTATTTTCGAAACAGGTTTGTTTTGGAACTGGCTTGGAACAGGTTTATGTGCTATCCTATACCAGTTCCAGTTCCAACTGTTTCAAAACACTGCAACTTAAATTAAATACTTAAAGAAATAAATTCTTGGAATTGTTTAAATTATGTTATCTACTATATTTGTGATACTAGATTCTTAATAGTGTATTTTTCAAAATTAGATATTTATATATTATATTGCATTTGGCAACATCGTCAGTACGTTTTTTTGGTGGTAAGAAATTCTCTTCGCTTATTCTGTTTACATTAAGAAAAACTGTGCAAAAAATGTATACATACCGACAAAGGAACCGCTTGTTTTTATTATCTGGCAATGTAAATTGTTTTTATTTTATATATGTATTTTACTATTTTATATATATAAAATAGTAAATATTAGATAATCTTTTCTTTTTGTTATTTTTAAATATTGATTTCTTATTTAAAATTTATAATAAAAATTTAGTTGAATTTTAATTAAATATATCAAATATCGGCAACGCTGCGAAAACCGTCACCCTTGTTTTTTACGTCTATGCACTACGTTAGTGCACTCGCACTCAATCTCGATAATATAACGTCAAGCGACCGCGTCGCTAAAGTGATATACTACCTCGTTTCTCAACTGAAACTAGTTTTTTTTACTTAACTGTTCCAAGTCCCAAACTGTTCCAAGTCCCAAACAGTTCCGAGTCCCTAACTGTTCCAAGCGCTAAATTGTTCCAAGCCGTAAACTGTTTCAAGTCCCAACCTGAACAGTGGGACTTGGAACAGTTTGAGACTTGGAACAGTTTGCGACCTGGAACAGTTTAGGGCTTGGAACAGTTTAGCGCCTGGAACTGTTAGGGACTTGGAACTGTTTGAGACTTGGAACAGTTTAGGGCTTGGAACAGTTAGGAACTTGGAACTGTTTGAAACAGTTAAGTAAAAAGAACTGGTTTGAGTTGATAATCGAGGTCGTATATAGGTTTCGCTAGTCTAGCCAAATCTAGCGGACGCGTTATCTGTTATCGGGATACAGGGGCGTAAAAAACAAGTGTGGCTGTTGCCGTTATTTAAAATATAAAATTAAAATTCTACTAAATAATTATTATAAATTTTAAATTTATAATATTTTTTTAAATATTTTATTTTTTTAATGTAAACAGAAATAGAATAGGTAAGGAATATTTTTTATTATAAAAAAATGCTGGCGATGTTGCCAAATGCAATATAATTATCGCATTATATTTTTTTTTTGAAAAATACAGTGTAAGAACTTATTTATCATTGTTTTGATTTTCTCCATTCTATCACTGTGCAAAATGCAAATACTACAACTCATTGAACTAAACATACCTACTAGATTCTAAATCAGTATTATTATTTTTTTGTACCTTTATATTAGCTTTACGAATCTCCTCACATCTTTTAACTTCAACCCTCAAAGCCTCCAAAGTATCCAAAGAGTTTCCAACATAATGAGTTCTAAACTCATCCCTATCAAACAGATCAATCTCCAGCATTTTCCATAGATCCTCGACTCGCATTCTCAGATGCGATACTTCCTCTTCTGTCGATGCTTTAATCTCCTTCAAACTCTTACAGAAGAACTCCAGTTTATTCATATTTTCATTTGTTACGGTGAAGTTGTCAGAAGACAAAACTTTGCACTCAAAGTCCGTGTTTGGTTTGTATTTTAATTCCTTAACAATTCTTGCTATATCTTCTTTCAGAATGCAATATTTCTCTTCTCTTTCGAATTTCTCATGTTCTAACCTCTCAATGTATTTTTGAAACTCTTCCAGTTGGGCAGGAGTAGGTAATGGGGGGCAGGGTAAGTTATACTTTGGTTCTTTACCTAAATGCTTGCAATAAATAATCTGTTTCTCGTTAAGGACTTCAATCTCTTTCTTCTTAGCATTGATAATTGCTTCACATCTATAAAAAAAACAATATTAATTCATAAAATATAAAACTAAACCAAACCTTACTCTTGAATTCTCTTGGTTAGCCTCGAATGTTCTTCAAATAGGCACAGTTTGTCTTGACCGATCTTTAAAGGCATTTTCTGATGTAGGTCTGTGCATAATTTTTCCAATTTTGTCAACAGTTCCTGTATCTTATCGATGGTTTTTGTGTGAAGGTTGTCCAGGTCCATAACTAAGTCGTAGCATGTTTCATCTGAAACTCAGGATTATTAAGAAAATTTGTTTGGTTTAGATAATAAAAACGTACCTATCAGTTTCAAGTACTCATCGGCCCAATCTTTGACAGGTTCCGGTTTAGTTCCAGCCAATTTTTCAACGATTCGGCACCAATTTAAAAAGCCTTTTTTTGTACGTTCTTGTATATTCGTCCATAGCTCTTGAGCCCAAGGAAGATTCTCTATGCTACAACAGGATATTAGTATATCGCTTTAAATTAGTTGTTTATAATACTACAATAATAAAAAACTGAATAGAAAAGGTTTACAGTATCTTTATAATCTGGAAAATAGACTTACATACTAAAATCCAAATCCTCCAACGAATTCACTGTTCCTACATGAACTACTGATTTCTCATTATCTGTTTCCATTTTATTGATAATTTACTAATTTATTCTACAAAAGCCGAGGTTTTGTTAATTTTTTTCAACGGTTTCACATAGAGCAACAAAACTTTTTATCGTTGAACAAATTTTAAATAAAACCGTCATTTATGTCAAATGTCAATTGGACAGGTGCGTTTGTTGGGTAAGAAGATCCCTAATAATACTTTACTTTGGCTACTGGATAATAGAGGGAAGTACGGTTTACAAAATTGTTAACGACGTTGCCAATATATTATAGAAGTAGATGGTTTTAGGGAAAATAAAAATTGTACAAAAATTTTATTAGAATTTATTTCTATCTAAAATTAACACAGATATATCTTTTAATCGAACATTTTTGTAACGTAAGAAAACGTAATTGACTTCAAACGTATTGTATTAATAAATACACAGTGTCAAATAAAAGGAGTATTTCTTATAAAGGAACGTTAACAATCAATCACGTAGTAGCTCTCTATCTATAAACTTTTCCTAAACATCAACTACATTGTCGGCGCGAATTCAAATATAACAAGCGATAATCAATCCATATACAATCTTATTCAGTTCTAAGCTACGTTTTATAAATGTTTGCAGTTTGAAAATAAGATTTTTGTAAAGAAAGCGCAACATTGATCAGAAATTAAACGATGTAACGTGAAACAAAAGACGTGCTGTAAAAATTACGTGTGTTTTTGTGTATGTATACTGTGTTCCTTATGAATTTTCGTGAAAATTATTTTAATACGATATAATAAGTAACGGAACGCTAAAATTATGTCATGCCAAAACTCTCCATTAGTTTCTTCCGGATCACCAGGTGGCTCTAAATGACGGACCCATTTGTTTTATATCAAGTGTCCAATCTATCTCTAATACGTGACATTAGTCTATGGAGGTACGGCAAATGAGCATGAACATAGGCAGATTCAAATTATGGTGGCTGCCAAGGGTTGGCCATGGGTGGCCTCCAGTTAATTATTCTATATATCGTAGCCGCTATGTTTTCGCGCTTGGTTCGCGCTTAAAAGGGCCCTACATGTAACGGTATCTGAGAGATTTGAACTGTAACTGTACCAAAACTGTACTGTACTGTTTTTTGGAGCATAATCAAAGATAATATCAGATAATATATCATATATCAATAACATGAATATGAGACAGATATGAACCACATAAAACATATAAATATAAGATTTCAAAAACATCTGGTTTGAAGATGGGTTTGAAGCATGATACAAAGAATAAATACAAGGTATGATATTGCGCAGGTTGATCATTACGTCACAGGTGATAAACGGCACCATTGGTCGGCAAGCTCTGCGCGCCAATTTCAAATTGTCAAACAGATGACATAATAAATCTGAAAATAATTTTTCAAATGTCCAGCTCCATGATTTGACATAACTTTTAACTAATTCTTCCCTATTTTAGGTCTTTTTTTTATTAGTGGCAATTGAACAATATGGATATTTTTTTGTTTGGCATATGACGTCACAGGTGGTAAGCGCAAACTTAACGAAATTAGAGCCACTATCGATCATACCTTGTTTTCTTTGTTCCATGGGTTTGAAACAGAGTTTGGCAGAGATATAGACGTATCTCTATATCACTGAAGATGGTTTTAAGCAGGTTTGAAGTTTAAGCTGTGGTTTGAAGTTTGAAGTTTGTGGTTTGAAGCCTGTTCCTGATTTATCATTTTATGGTGATTTTATGAAAATATTGTGGAAAATATCAAAATTGAAAGCTAGATTGGAAGATACTTCATTCACAAATCTAGAAATGGATAATTTGAAAATATAGAAAATATGTTAAAATAACTGAGATAATTACCGGTATTTACCTAATTAATAATATATTCATGGTAATTAATTCTATAGGTTTTGTTTTCCTAGAAAATATCAAGAGATATTTCTTATTTTTTCCATTTTACTTACTATATTTATCCAAAAATAGTTTTTTTCTATGTAAATGTAGGTATTTATCAGCATTACATTTCTGTTAATATTATCATAGGTATCTGATTTCTACATAAATGGTATCAGTATATAGAGAAAGAAATAAAAAATAAGGAAAGATCTTCTGTTGAAGTTAAACTTAACTGTATAATTAAATAGGTCATTGTTAATTAATATATAATTTTTAGGTACTTTAATTATTGAAAATCAAAATGAAATTAAAAAGAGCTGTTGTTATCTTTGGATCTTTAATTATTTTAGTAATTATATTTACTATTTATTCTGCTAAAGATTTAACATTATCAGTAAGGAAAACTACAATCACTCAAGAACTAAAAGATGTAAGTAATAAAAAATTTCCTTCTTCATATATGTGACAATTTTTGTATCTATTAGAATCAATGGTTACATTTTGAAGATAGAATAAAACAGCTTGAAGATGATCTCAGCCGACATCACAATGCTGTAGCTGAAATTAAAATTGCAATGCAAAATATGCTTAGTTCAAGTACAAATTCCATTCCATATAGAAAAGCAAATCCAGTTCAAATTCAAACAAAACTAAATATAAATAATATGATTTATAAGTCTTCCTGTCCTTTTCATCTCAGTTTTAAGCCAAGAACGAATGTTCAAATGTTGGACATGTATAAAATTTTAACATTTGATAATCCAGATGGAGGTGCCTGGAAACAAGGATGGAGAATTGAGGTTGATGAAAAAGATTGGAACAGACATAACAAACTTAAAGTATTTGTTGTGCCGCACTCGCACAATGATCCAGGCTGGACAAAAACTTTGGACGAATATTATATTACTCAAACAAAACATATTTTGGATAATATGTTGGTCAAACTTCCTGATGATCCCAGAAGAAAATTTATTTGGGCAGAGATTTCTTATTTTTCTATGTGGTGGGAGGAACTTGAATCTGATCAAAAAGAATTAGTGAAAAAGTTTGTATCAAATTAGTTTTATTTTTTTCTTAGTAATTTTAATTTTTTTTAAGATTACTACATAACAATCAGTTGGAAATTGTAACAGGAGGGTGGGTCATGAATGATGAAGCAAATTCACATTTTATCTCAATCGTTCATCAATTAACAGAAGGGCATCAATGGTTGGCTCAAAATTTAAATTATACTCCGGTCAGCCATTGGTCAATTGACCCTTTTGGTATGGGTTTAACACAACCAGCAATTTTAAAGTACAGTGGCTTATCTAATATGTTAATTCAAAGGGTGCACTATTCTGTAAAGAAAGAACTTGCAAAAACTAAACAGTTGGAGTTTAGATGGAGACAATTGTGGGGTAAGGATTAAATGAACTGTTCTGTTTATTGAGTTAGCATTCTAATAATAAATTTCCAAGTTAAGCTGCATTTTTAAACTCAGGAGTTGAAGTTGAAGTTCCGTTGAGGTTCAATTTAGTTGGGAGTTCGCAGCAGGTTCACTATTTTTGCATTTATAAATTGTCAGTTTTGGTTGTTCTTTCGATTTAAAAATACTTTTGATATATTTCAAAGTTCAAACCAAATAATCCAACATTGAGCAAAATATAAACAGAAATAATCAAATTTATCGTCGAGACTCGTCTGGGAATGCCTGGGTGAACTGGGAGCTCTGGCACGAAGGAACAGAATTAAATTATTCTGGGTGCCGGGTTGTAGTTGGCGGCACTGCGGCATCCAAGGCAACGAAAAAGCCAATGAGCTAGCTAGGCAGGAATTATTGGCTAGGTTATCTATCTTGGTCCAGAGCCAGTACTGGGAATACCCAAATGTATGACCCGTAGTGCACTAAAACTCTGGATCAGGGAAAAGCAGAATGTCCATTGGAGAAACAGACATGGGCACAGGCACAGCAAGGCTTTTATCCAAGGACCTAGCTCTAAAACCGCAAAAGAACTGCTAATGCTGAGCAGGAATAAAGTGCGGATTACAACAGGACACATGGCTGTCAAGTGTTACCTGAACAAGCTCAACCTGTATCAAGAAACTCTTTGCTGCAGACTCTGCGATAAAGATCCGGAAACAGCGGAGCACATAATATGTCATTGCGAGGCTCTGGATCGCAAGCGACACTTTTTTTTTGGGAAAGCTAGGCTAAAACTGGAGGAACTATGCTCCCATCCCATCAAGGACCTGCATAGGCTAGTGCAGGGCACAGGGATAGGGGAGTGGGTGCAGATATACACTGTCCGGCAATAGTGCGTCGGGCATCTGTAGCTCCTAGAATAAAAAACCGAATAAAAAACTTAAAAATTTTGTTTAAGAGCAAATCTAAAGTATGTTCTAGGATGTATTCCAGGAAAATATTTTAACTTCTATAAAGTGGCTCAAAAAGTGTGAATGGATCGGGATGAATTTTTCTAAATTGAACACCCTGCATATTATTGCATTTTTGGCTTCTTTTCAGTCACTTTACATAATCCTAAATACGAGTAAATATATTTCGATAGTTTCAGAGATATTAATAAATAAATAAAAAATATATATTTTTCAGCCTTTTTTAAAAAAATTATTAAAAATACAAGAAGTGTTCTGAAATCAAAACTATATTAGATATTTACTTTAGATGCTCTGTACTTATTTTGCTATAAATATGGTAATCGAAATATCATACAGGATGTTTAAAATTTTACGCCAAACTTTCTAAAATAATTTTTCTTTTTTTTAAATGGAACACCCTGTATATTATTTTTTCAATAGATGGAGATTTGAAAAATGAACATTTTGTATTTAGAGTATTTCAAAATTTTTAACGGTAATATTTATATTTCATATGGCATTTTCCATAGTAAATTTCTATCAAAGCCACCAATGATTTTTCTCTCGTATTTTACCGTTGGGAGAGCCATATGAAATAATACTGCGTATATCTGCGAAACCATTAAATATTTTGAAATACTTTAAATACAAAAAATGTTCATTTTTTAATTCTCCATCTAATCAGAAAATAATATAAAGGGCGTTCCTTTTAAAAAAAAACAAAGAAAAAATATTTTATATTTTAGAAAGTTTGGCGTAGAATTTTGAACATTCTGTATTATTTAAGATTACGATATTTATACCAAAGTTAAGTATAGACCATCTAAAGTAAATACCTAATATAGTTTTGATTTCAGGATAGTTCTTGTATTTTTAATGAAGCTTGAAAAATATAATTTTTTTATCTATTTATTAATATCTCTGAAACTATCTAAATATATTTATTCATATTTTAGGATTATGTAAAGTGATCTGAAAGAAAGCCAAAAATGCAATAATATACAGGGTGTTCCATTTAAAAAAAATCATCCCGATCCACTCACACTTTTTTGAGCCACCCTATAGAAGTTAAAATATTTTCCTGAAATACATCCTTGTACATACTTTAGGTTTACACTTAAACAAAATTCCCAAGTTTTTTATTCTAGGCGCTACAGATGCCCGACGCACTATTGCCGGACCCTGTAGAAAGGGGACAAACACAATAGGCCTCACAGGTCGCAGTGTTTCCGGCAAAGGCCGACCCCTTGTTATGAAAAAAAAAAGAAATAAAGAAACAACAATAAGACTTATTTACCAATGCAGCGGCGCCGCCTTTTATTTCCCTGTTTCACGTGATCATTAAGCGGCGTCCAAGCTACTCGAACAAAATGTTCGCGAACATATATAATTAAACAGATACTAAGTGAAAATTGTGAGATAGGTAGATTTATAAATAATAAAGCCAACAAGTACAGGGTGGGTCAAATTCGACGCTATTAAATGGAAACACCCTTTTCTATAGGAGATAGACGAAAACTAATATCGGTGTCTGGAGCTCAATTTTCATCATCAACATGATGGTGAAAACCGCACATCAATATCTGTTACCGTTTCGGAGTTACGGGGTGTTTTTCAAAAATGTGAATTTTGAACAAATCGCTGTAACTTTTTTGCTATGGAAAATTTTGTATTTCTATGAAAACATTTCCAAAGCACCTTTTTACGTAGAATTTAATGGTTTAAGTATAATTTTTTTAAAATTAATAATTTAAAAGTATCAACAGAAAAATTGATTTTTTATTTGGGACACCCTCCATATTTTTAATTAACTGAAAAGAATTTAAAATTACCTTTCCAAAAATATAGCACACTTGATATTTTGTTATAATCCACTTCGAAATACAGCATTTTTAAAAGTTCGCCACTTTTAACTAGTAGGCTTTGGACCCCTTATTGATGATATGCCCTTAATGAAATTCGAAAGCATATTTTTCCAGCAAGACGACATTTTTGCAGCTAATTTCAAGAATAATTGAATAGCTTACCAAAATCCCAGCCGTTGGCCGTCGAGGCCGCCTGACTTAGTGCCCATGGATATATTTGCGGAAGAATAAAGGTTCTTTATTCTTCCGTATAATCTAGACAAGAATTCGAAATACTTAGCAGTTATGAGAGGGCATCTTTTACCCCCACTGAGTTAATGAATTCCGCGAGAAATGTTCAAAAACTGGCCCGTCTGTCCATAACAGAAGACGGTCGATATGTCGAACACCTGTACCAAAATCTCATATCTTGGTTTGCTATTTATTTTTATTGTTATTAGATATCGTTTAAATGTATTGATGTTGGTTAAATATATTTTAAATTGTTATAAAATTCTGCATCTCTCATAGCAAATATTATTTTCGTTTTAATTGATGCTCACAGCTAGAATTTTTTTGCATTACAGCCGGTGCCATTCAAAGCCTACTTATTTAAAGCGACCGAATTTTTATATACTCTATATCTCGAAGAGGAATCGAGCAAAATATCAAGTGTGTTATATTTTTGGAAGGGTAATTTTAAGTTCTTTTCAATAAATTAAAAATATATAGGGTGTCCCATATAAAAAATCAAATTTTCTGTTGATAATTCTTAAATTATTAATTTTAAAAAAATTATACTTAAACCATTAAATTCTACGTAAAAAGGTGCTTTGGAAATGTTTGCATAAAAATACAAAATTTTCCATAGCAAAAAAATTACAGCGATTTGTTAAAAATGCATATTTTTGAAAAACACCCCGTAACTCCGAAACGGTAGCAGATATCGATATGCGGTTTTCACCATCATGATTTTGACAAAAATTGAGCTCCAGACACCGATATTAGTTTTTGTCTATCTCGTATAGAAAAGGGTGTTTCCATTTAAAAGCGTCGAATTTGACCCACCCTGTACAGCTAGCTTAGGCCTATTAAGGAGCGCGGAGCGCCGAACGGCTAGCTTGTACGCCAGAGCGTGCGTCTGCCTATGCTAGAGCGCGCGCGTTCTTTTTCCGACGGGTGTCGGTAAATCAAAAGGAGCCAACGGCGTGTTTTTCGGCGGACATTGTACCGGACACTTGGAAGGGTCTAATTTAATTTCGGGCGTCCATCTGTGTCTTTTATTTTTTACCGAGTATTCGACAATGGGGACGCAGTTATTGACTGGGATCGTGAAAAACATTTATAACTAATTTGTTTACACAAAGAAAAGATTATATAATTTTAATTTTATTGTGGGTTGAGTGTGAATAGTATGTGAATATTATTTTTATTAAAAACCGGAATTATTATGGGATTCTGAAATTAAAAATTACTAGTTAATAGGAAGTTTGACACCCGAAATGAAATTTTACAATTACATTTTTAGAAATAAATATACCGGGTGTTTCTGAAAAGTGGTTCTCTTCTATAACTTTTTTTATTTTTTAGATAAAAAACGAGATTTGGTATGTTAGTATAGGACATAAATCAGGGTTGATCGACGTTTTCATTTATTTTCGGTCACTACCGATTTCACCGGAAATGACAACAACTTTTGATTTAAATGGTACCCTTGGTATTTTTTTACCGTATATGATAGAAGATGACATTCTAAATAGAATGATATATTATTTTTGACATTTTCAATTTAAAAATGGCCATAAATAAACGTAACGACAATTTTACTCCAAATACCAAGTATGTGGTACCAAATTATTCGTAAAAAATGCTTTTTCCAAATATGCTGAGCCAGCCTCGTACCATTTGAAAAATTTGAGTTATCATTAAAAATACGATTTGGGCATCTTTTAAGTGGTCATGAAAGGATACGAAAAAAAATTACACGATCAAATATATGTTTCCAAAGTTCTTTGATTACAAATTAATAGTTTTAACTCATTCTTTGCACTCTAGACTGAAATTTAAAATGCTACTTTTATTTATTTGGAATTGTCTAAAATTGACGAATGGTATGTCATTCTATTCAGAATGTCATTTTACATAAATATGGATACTTAGGATATAATCTAAAAATACAAAGTTGTAGTCATTTCCGGTGAAACAGGAAGCGACCGAAGGTAATTGAATACGTCAATCAATCCCGATTTATGTCATATACTAACAAACCAAATTTCGTTGTATTATCTGAAAAAATAAAAAAGTGAGCCCCTTTTGAGAAACACCTGGTAGAATCGGCTGAAAATGAATACAGGTCTTAAAAATACACTATAACGAATAATCTACCAAAAGACCCCTGTGACCCTCCGCCTGCTAAATATTGATTCTTCAACGACAAAAGTTCTTAAACTGTTTACCGGTTAATTTATTTAATAAAATGCTTGCACTCGAAAAAACAGCGACTACCTAAATGCATCCTAGATCTATAGAGCAAACTGGTTGTCGCATTTTTCCCCGCACCTCAGTCCTTGGGACCGATGCGATAGGCTGTGCCGTCGTTTACGACCTGCTGCTACGAGTATATACTGTGAATTATATATGTTCGCGAACGTTTTGTTTGAGTAGCTTGGACACGGCTTTAGACGCTTACTCATTGGCTGCCGTTCAAACCATGTTGAAACTGCCGAACCTCGTGAACTGCCGACTTAAACATTGGCCATCTATAAACTCTGTTGAACGTAAAACGAACTGTCATCTTTTCGACGAACTGACTATAATTACGCGCATTGATTTTATAGCGCTGACTGAACCATTTTGAACCTCAACTGAACCACAACTAAAGTTCAACTGCCAATTTCACCAGCGTTGTGTTTTAAAATTTGATTTTATTCTTTCTTTATTTATCTGTTATTGAATAGTAAGTCTGACATTGTACTGGCACTAAGAAATTCACCTTAACTGACTTAACTTTATATTAACCCTAAGATATTAACCTTAAGAACTTAAGGAAATGCCATACATACTTCTTCTCGTACTTATCTTAAAAATATTCTAGTATTTTATTTCTAAGTGCTTGCGCTCATGAAATGTTTTGAACTAACCTAATGATAAATATTTTAGAATTTTAAATACCAGAAAGAATAATTTTTACCATGATTAATAATTAATAATTTTAACAACAAATAATTTCTATACCTACCACAAAATATATTATTTGTTATTTATTATAACAGTTATAAACCGTCAAATTCAACGTATCAAATACGAAAATTCTTAAAAACGCTCCTCTTGAGCATGCGCAAATTAATTATGTATTAGCATTAGCCCTAACAAATAAAAATATCCCATATTTCTTACGAACCGTTAGGTTAAGATCGGTGCGTTAAAAGCATGACTGCTGGAGCTGGCGTTCAATTAACTTCGTTTCCTATTCTTGAGATTAGAACTAATGTTACGTGTTAGGGCCATATACGTATTATTTACAAATATACTCAGCCTAATCTCCAAAAGGTGAAGCCCAAACAGTGAAAGAACAATATGGAATTCTGCATAAGTCTATTTCACCCGGATATTCATTTAACTGCGCATACCTCACCTGAAGAAGTTTTCATTGGTCGATGTTTTTAAAGGGAAGTGGTTGACTGACATTTCACCTAACCTTCAATTTTATTTATATTTTTATTATTTATAACACATTATCATGAAGTTGGAAAAATATCAAAAAATAGTTGGAAACAATAAACTAAACAAAATCACTCTTTTACGCGCACAAATAAAAAGTAATCCAAACAGAACTAAAACAACAATCAATCGGAGTTTGGCGCAATCGCAGTTCAATCCATATCCGGGTGTAATAGACTTATGCAGTTTTAATATGGAGCTGGGTTATGTTGTCTTTTTCTTACGGCACAGAAATTGCACACGGGGTTAAATAGGGAACCCTGCGTATATTTGTAAATAATACGTATATGGTTAGGGCTAAGATCGAAAGCATGAACCAGTCAGTACTGTTATTTAAAAATAAGTTTCTGATACATATTAATTTTGTTGTTAAACAGTCAATATATAAAAAATAAATAAACATGTACAAAATACAAAAAAATTATTTGAGTACAATTAATCTGAGGAAGCAACAAGTGTTTACCTGGTTAAACCTTAAGTCTATATCTCTGGGTGAAACGCGGCGATCTCGACATTACATTGCAAGCGGCTACTGTAGGCGACTGTTATTTTATAACTAATATTTTTTTAAGAAACTGTTCAGAGCTTGATAGAATTTCGTAGAGCAGCAATCTTGACATCACAACACTCCCGTGTAATTAGACCTGTTATTTTTGGAAGTAACAAAACGTTGCAACCTGTTATTTAAAAATAAAAGTTGAAGACACGAATTAAATAATGTGTTAAGTACCAAAAAAGTAGGTTGTGATTTATTTGTAAAATGTCCCAAGTTCCATAACCAACAACATACTGGGTGGCCAGTGGCGCAAATAGACACCGACTTTTAGGGGGGCTCAAGTTTTTTGGGGGTCTTAGCTCACTTATAATAGCTAGTTTAATTATTATATATTACATATATGTATGGCTCTTTTAGTACTAAAATTTCATCACACATGTGGTGCAGGTTTTGATTAAAATTTACTGTTGAAAGAGCCGTTTTTAATATGTTAACACAAATAACTGCTAAACCGTTTTAGGGACACTAATACAAAAAATGTTCATTTTTTCATTCTGCATCTAAAATAAAAATAATATAGAGGGTGTTGCTACAAAAAAAATAGATAAAATATTTTAAATATTGCGATGTTCCAAAATCTATACACAAAAATGGGTGGTGTAATTTAAAAAAAACTTAAAACTTTATCATTACTTTTTTAGGAACACTCTGTATAAAACAATACAATTTTAAAATATGCCCCTTTATTAACCACGCAACATCTGTATAAAACTTCGACGATATTGGCCCCCCTCGCACTAATGGCCCACCCTGTATATAAAGCGGTAAGTGCCACGGCTATTATATTGGAAAAATTCTCAACGGAGACAACGCCCGTTCTTATACATTGGTTATGGACAGGGGCGCATATACGGGAGGGGTAATGGGGGTAATTACCCCTCCCAGGAAGAAGTTAGTAATAATATAGTATTATAAAAAGTGTTCTCTAGTTGCGCCACTGGTTATCGAACAAAAAATATTGTTTATCTTGAAATAATGATTTTGCCACTTAGCAGATTATTTACTTCTAGTCTTCAATTGTTAAATACCAAATCGTTAAATAATAACCCATTGTTTTAAATTAATCATGTACACTTTAATATTTGCATTCACAGATGATTCTGGAGATACTGACATGTTTTGTCATATGATGCCATTTTATGGATATGATATACCTCATACTTGTGGGCCAGACCCTAAAGTATGTTGTCAATTTGACTTTAAGAGACTACCCAACCACGGGCTTCATTGTCCATGGAAGGTACCACCAGTACCTATTACAGACAAAAATGTAGCTGCTAGGTAATCTTCATACAGTAAATAATACATTCACTGCAGAACGCAAAGAAAATATTTTGAATATTTTTAGAGCGGAAATGCTATTAGACCAATATAGAAAAAAATCAAAACTTTATAAGACAAATGTTGTAATGGCACCATTAGGAGATGACTTTAGATATGATCATCCAACAGAATGGGATGTCCAGTATACAAATTATCAAAAATTATTTGACTATATGAACAGGAATTTGAAATTAAATGTTCAGGTATAAAACATTTCTTTTGAAATAATATTGAAACCATACAATGGAAAAAATGCCGTCAGACATGGCTTGGAAATAAACACCCCCTATCAGTGTATATAAAAAATTATATGAGAAATGCAATCGATCGTAATTTCCAAGCCATTTGAACGTCGCGCCGCGCCGTTTTCTTTTTGGATTATGTAGAATATTTTATAAGTATTGGTTTTAAATAGGCACAATTTGGTACATTAACAGACTATTTTAAAGAATTGAGGAAAAGCAAAGATATATCAGAGTTCCCTTCATTATCAGGGGACTTCTTTACTTATGCTGATAGAGATGATCATTACTGGAGTGGGTATTATACTTCAAGGCCATTTTATAAACGTATGGATAGAGTTCTTTTAAGTTACATAAGGTACTTAAATTTAATTTATTTATTTAAATTGTTACTTATTTTCGACTCTTTTTATATTTAATATTTTTTGAATTATGAAATTTTAGAGCTGCAGAAACATTGCATGCGTTAACTTATCATAGTGGAAAATCTGGTACAGATTGGATAGTTGACAAAGTTATTGGCTTAGAACACTTATTAATTAATGCAAGACAAAGTTTGTCATTATTTCAACATCATGATGGTATTACTGGTACAGCCAAAGATCATGTTGTTATTGACTATGGCAAAAGGTATAAATTTATCAGAATTATATCGGAAAATTTGTATAATTGAAATATTAATCATTTAAGACTATTAGATTCCATTCATAACTGTCAAAGAGTTATACAGCTCTGTACTAATATCCTTCTTGAAGGAACTGGCTCACAAGGACCATATGAACAAGATGTAAATTATTATAGCTTTGAAGATGTTTGGCATTCTCATAACAGTTTGCCAGAAAGATTGCAAATCACAATTGGAGTTCCTGATTTGCCTACAAAGAAAATTGTTATTTATAATTCTCTGGCTTTTGCTAGACATGAAGTTGTAACTTTCCATATAAATATACCTTTTATTAAAGTAGATCTATCACATCAACTTTAAGTTTTTTTCTTCATATTATTACTTCTAGGTGTTTGACTTTAGAGGGAAAATAGTTCCTTCCCAAATATCACCCATATTTGAATATGGATCATCTATGTCACAAACGAAATATGAACTTGCCTTTGTGGCAAATATTCCAGCTTTTGGTACAGTTAGCTATACTGTCACTGCAGTTTATGAAGAAAATAAACCAAAGTAAATAATCGAAGTCGTTAGGTAATCAGAATTGATATTTGTTTTAATTTTAGGGAAACCGTATTTCCGCTTGTTAAAATATTTAATCAGTATGGCGATGTAAAAATCCCTAAAGGTTTCAAAGTAGATGTTTCACCAAGTGCCAGTGAATTTAGTTTTCAGAATGGAAGAGTGGCTGCATCCTTCAATAATTTAGGTCTTTTAAAGGCCATCAAAACAGGCAGCACTACTGTACCAGTCCATTTAGATTTTGCTAAGTAAGTATGTTGTCTACTAATATACAGTATGATGGGAAAATGGCATTAAGTTACCTGATTAATGCTTACATTAAACTGTATTACTGTTAACAGCCTGTAAGCCAACTTCCTATATGTTTTGTTTATGTTTTTAAAATGTTGTATTTGTATGTATTTGGTTTAGGGTTTCAACTTTATGTTCTCTAGATATGTCCTTATGTTCTTCCTAGATATGGGGTTGCTTTTCGACAAAACTCTGATAGAAGCGGTGCTTACCTGTTTTTACCAGATGGCCAAGCAATAGAAATAAAAGCTGAAAATACCATTGTAAATGTTATTGAAGGTCCCATTATGTCATCTGTTACTGTTCAGTTGCCTCATGTAAAACACAAAGCTATTTTGTACAACACCCCAGGTTAGAAAATAATATAGAATTTTGAATGTAGAATTTAGTAGTGATCACCCGAGTCAAAAATACTCTGCCAGAATTTAAATCCTCGGTATGTCTCGAGGAATTTTGTCGATCTTCGAAGATTACTCGGAACGCAACTAACACAGTGTGTGGCGTACCATACTCACAAGAATACCAGGTGATTTACGGCTTAGTCGCGATTCCCACTATAACGTACCGTCACCGTCACGTCGAGCTGCCGTCTCGACATAAAACATGAAGTGAATGGGAGATGGACGTTGCCACGACGTGACAGCGACGTTATGGGAGTGTGAATATGTTCATTGTTGGCCATTTTAGAATATTTATTGTGGTGGCCGGCGCGGCGGCTCGACGTTGACGGTGTCGATACATTATAGTGAGACTTGCGCCTTATGCTGAAACCTTTTAAAATAAAAACAAGTAATTCCCCGAATTACTTGTTTTCATTTGGCCTGAAAGGTTGTCAGATAGGTATCAAATTCAGAGTTAAAGAAACAAATTAGTGCGTTAAGCGCAGTCTATGAAAATTTTACTTTCTACATCAAAACACGAAAATATGAAAAAATATTAAAGAAACCTGTTTCACTTAACTATTTATTTTATTACAATATAATTCAGGTCGTTCAGTTACATGGTTCTGTTACCATGTGTTAAGACGGTCCTGCACGATGTGGCGAACACCTTCAAACGTTGGACGCACGGCATTCGCCACATCGTGTGGGAGCGCAGAAATCCATGTGTCGAAAGTTCGAAGCAAGTTCGGGCTCTTGTCGGTAAATTTTACGCGAGTCAAAGGACCTTCCAGCGTTCGAGGCAATGTTTGATGCGCTCCTACACGAGAGTCTTCACGTGGCTGATATTTTACAAGGGATCAGTAGCGGCCTCGTTTTTAATACTATAACGTGGTCTCTTCATTCTAAACATTTTTCGTGATTTGTTCTTTGCCAGAAATATGTAAGTACATACATAGCTATATTGAAAGATTAATTATTGGTTTTCTTTGTGTTAATAAATATCTGACAGAATTTTTGGTTATTACATTAATTTAGTGAAAACACTTAAATTCCCTTTTATTCATTCACTTTTTTATTCATCAAAATTTTCTTCTTGTATTAGATATGTGAATAAGTTTTTACTTTTTACTAAAATTACTTTTGAAATTTTCCGTTTTTAGTTAAAATGTAGTGGAATAATGAAATGATCATTGAATGTCAAACAGGGAGATCAGAAAAAAATATTTTCGTTTGTTATAAAATCGTTGATATCATTGTCATTTAAAAGCCTATGTATATTATCTAAAAAATCAAAACACAAATAACATTGCTTTTTTGAACGATATAGCATGTTCCTATATCTTCTGTTTTTTTTCAGTAAAGTGATTTAAAATTATAATTATTCTATATTATAATGGTTTCGTTTAAAGAAAATCGTTACCATGACAAATATTCAAACTTTATAAGTATCTATATATAGAATATTATAAGATTAATAATTATTCATCACTATTAATAACAAAGATTTGATTGCTCAAGCCAAGAGTATTTACATACGACACTGAGTTAATTTCATAAATGTAGCGCCAGGTTTGCGTCCAACGTTGGAACCAACGTTCGAAGCATCGTGTAGGAGACACATTCGCCAATTGTAATATTGTCGAAAACTGTGTCAAATGTTGGTTCGAACGTTCGTTCCAACGTTGGACGCATCGTGTAGGACCGTCTTTACCACAGTATGTCAACAAACACCGAGCATTATTCGGGTATCGATCGAGACAGGCCTTGGAGTAGTTGGAAAAACAAAGAACATTTTATACCCGAGGATTCCTCGGATGATCGACCGATTATTGGAATCCTCGAGGATCGATACTCGAAGATTGAAATAATCAGATTATTCCTAATACTAGAATTTAGTACAACAGATGTTATAACTTAGTCTAATTTATCAGAATATCTCAATTTAATATTACAAATATACACTCGGCTATAATAAATTCTATTTCATTATAAACGGATTACACCGTATTTTCATCTATTGTAGAAAATAACATAATATTTTAAAATTTTAAGGTGCAGATGGATTAGGTATTGAAATTGAGAACACTGTGGATATTCAAAAAACTAATAATTTCGAAATAGTCATGAGATTATCCACAAATATTAACAATACTGACGAATTTTTTACTGACGCCAATGGTTATCAAGTACGCTGTTGATTTATATAACCATGCTATATTAGCTAAATTACATTATTTATTAGATGTTAAGACGAAAACGGTTTAAGAAGCTTCCCTTACAAGCCAACTATTATCCGATGCCGACCAAGGCTTACATTGAAGATAAAACGACGCGACTATCAATATTAACAAGTACGCCACTGGGTTGTAGTTCGCTAAATGAAGGAAAAATTGAAGTTATGTTAGATAGGCGACTAAGCCAAGATGACAATTTGGGTTTAGGACAGGGCGTTCTCGACAATCATCCCACCAAGCACATATTTAGAATTTTAATCGAAAAGAAGACTGAATCTTGCCAGGTTTGTATTATTTTTAAAATTTATAATCTATCAGATAATAATAAAAATTTTAGTAATTTAAAATTTTTAATATTTGACATTGTAAATAGTATCACTGGTTTTATTGTATTTTCATAACTATATATTTTTCTCTATAAATATACCTTTTAGGAATGTCAAAAGTTGACATATGATATGTCCATTCTATTCAGAATGTCATTTTCTATCGAATAAAGTAAAAAAATACCGAGTGTGTCATTTAAAAATCAAAAGTTATAGTCATTTCCGGTGAAATAAGAAGTGGCCGGAAAGAATTGAATACGGCAATCAATCCTAATTTATATCCTATACTAACATACCAAATATCGTTTTTTATCTGAAAAAATAAAAAAGTTATAAGGGTGAGCCACTTTTGAAACGCACCCGGTATATAAACAAATAAATGGAAACACCAAACCAAAAATTTTTTGTGTGAAAAGCCTGCTTTATTTTTATCATCTTTCGGTTTTTTCGCACTTATTGGTTTACACCCCGTATATTTTTAGGCAACAGTTAGCGATCATCCAGCAGGATTTCCCACGGTATCTGCAGGTGTAGCTTCAGAATCTCTGCTTAATCCGCTAGTTAAAATGCTCAAAACCCAAGACGATGAAGAGAACAAAGCTGAGGTGTTTGCTCCTTCATTTGAATTAGGCGTTGATCTTTCAATACCCACATTTAAGACAAATTTGTTCATAAAGGAAGCTTACCACACGGGACTAGTTATACACCGCCAATTTTTGGACACTTGTTTCTTGGATAAAGTTTTGATAAAGCAGTTCCAGTTGAGCGACGGAAAAGTAAGTATAAAAATAATCTAGTTTGGATTGATACAAATATATGTAATTTATTTTTCAGCTGAATTTAAAAGCATTATTTCCTAACAGCGACGGTAAAAGCCTTTACAAAGCTTCTTTGTCTTTTCTAAAAACAGAAAAACTTCTTGATATTAACGATGATATTGAATTATGTCCTATGGACATGAAGGCATTTTATATTTAAATTTAAGGTGGCACAATTTAGTCAGTAACATGATTTCTTGAATGTTGATTTTCTCTAAAATTAATAGATTATTATACTGTGATATCAAAATAATCTCAAATATATAAATGTTTATGATCTGTTACCACTTGAATCTCGCGAACCAAAGAAACAAATCATGCAAAATTTTCCGATCTTAGATATTATACAAAAAAAACTAGATAGAGGATATAGTTATATCTAAAGTAAAATGGGAACGGGATAATTATTAGTTTAATCCACTGATAGGTATATCTTACTTGGCAAAGATTCAATATTTTAAAAAAAATAGGAATAATATACACAACAATACACACTTAATATTTTAGTCTAGCTATTCACAGATATTTTAATCCTTTTTTATTTGCCTTTAGCCATAACAGTCATAAGAATATTAAATTAAAAAAAGTGCATTTTATTTGCTAAAAGTTTTGCCCCTAAACCATATTTGATTGTCTTTATTCCATATTCCATGTATTAATGATATTATTTTGTAACAGTTTGTGCACTTTTGTTGATGTCCAATATTTATTTAACTTTACTACCTGCGTTGTGATTATGTGATAATTTTATTTTTAACCTTTTAATGCTGGTATAGTGTAGCTGTATCTTATGCTGGTATTATTATTCATTTTGAAATGCAAAATAAATCTTGAATGAACATGTATTATGTGTAATGAGTAAAATATATAACATTTTTTTAAATTAAAAAAGGTAGTAGAACTAATTTATATGGCACAAATATTTATTATAATGCTCATTTTATATCTAGTTGCTACATGATATTATTTAAAATTTAAAGCACTTAAAACATGTATATACTGAACTAATTTTTGAATTATATTTAAACCATATTTAGTCAGATTTACAAACTACTTGTAATTTTAAATTTGAGACTAATAATTCCATAGAAATTCCTAAAATAAAATACATTGAATTAAACTGATTGTTTTATTGCCAACTTTATAGGTATTTATTTTTCCAATAGTTTTTTCATTATCAAGGATATTACTTCATTATCAGTAATAACTTCTAAGAAATCAGATATTTCTTTAAATTGTCCTTGTTGATATGATATGCTTTGTTTTGTTGAAGAAAATCTGTTTGATTGTCCCTGTACAAATATTCTAAATTCTTGATCATTCAATTTTTCAATTTTAGACACAAAAGGGAAATTTGTTTTGGTTATTTCACTTTCAGGTTTTTCTAATCTTATCTCTGGTTTATGCCTCTTGTTAGTTACCTTACATTCTTTTAATTTTTTACTTAATATTATTAAAGCATCTTGAGAATTTATCATTTCCTGAAATAATGTAAAAAATTATATTCTTTTGTTTGACGTCACCTTTTCATTTTTACTTTTATCATGTTTGGATTTAAAATTATTTGTTGGCAATCAGGGTTCTGATCTTTCAATACTCCCCCAACCAAAAGTGCTGTTATGCTTTCTCTAATGTGCTCAATATTATCTTCTGGCTAAAAGATGTAAATTTTCATTGAAGTACTAAAATGGAAAAAAACAATTTACCAATGGCAACCAGGCATTTATACTAATTGCTACATCTAAATTTTCTACATAATGCCACCATTTATGTGGTACAACCAAAAGATCTCCAGGGTTTAAGATTATCTTATGGCAATTAGTTAATCCTAGAATATGCTCAATGCTTTAATATTATTTTAAATTAAACATTTTTATTAACTACCATTAAAATCTGGTACATTTGGACTGAAAAAATTTAGTTTAGAATATATGCTTGATTCCTCATATGGGACACGTGTTGAATTTAAATTTTCTTCTGGAGGAAATAGTAACCATAATTTTCTAAAAACATTTGCCATAAATATACTTAAAAACAAATTTTATCTTCTAATAATATATTTACTGTCCATAAACTTGGTAAACCATATTGCATCCATAAGTATCTACATGACAAGATGTGTGAGCACCTTTTGAGCCGATCCAGATGGTAGAATCTTCAAGAGTAATCTCTGAAAAACCGATTTTTGACCAAACCATATTCTAATATAAAAAATCTAGATATTTATGACTTATTTCTCAAATATATTATTGGTCTATTTGTGAATATTTTACTTACATCCCTAAGATCAACCTTATTTACAAACCAATCACGCAAATGCTTATAATCAAAATACAACCAATCATTGTTACTGTTGGTAGATTGCTCAACAAAATCCTTAAACTGCAAATATTTTATAGTACATGTATTCTCCCACTGAGGACTCTAGATAAAACAACCATTAGTTTAAATATAAGCATTTTAACTTTATAGTTACTTGTGTATATTTATTCTTTCCTAATCTAAATGGTAATTGATCATCCCCAATAAATTCTTGCCACTCAGTTAATGTCCATTTCACCATTTCTGATGAAATATTATGTATAACTAAGGGAGTCTTAGTGTTAAGTATAGTTTGTTTCAGTTCATTTTTATTACACACTTCCAAATCCCCCATTTTAAAAATAAAAAATCAAAAACAAAAATAAACTCAGATCATACTCAGATGAAAAATATAAAATATTTTTAAAATTTCCCCATAGATCATATCATGTCGCTTGTCGCTAGGTCGCTAGACGCCACCAGAGATATAGAAGTAGGGACGTCACCTTTGACGCCACCTAGACGCGTTGCCACCCTAAATAACAAAGAAGAAAGAAAAGGACTTCATATATTTGTAAAAAGTAATACGTATGTGTTCATATATAGTAGGCCCCGTCCAGAGGCCGTCCAGGCCATAAAATAATCAACTAGAATTAATTAGTCCATGGGCTAGTCCATTGGTATGCTAATCTTAATTTAGTCCATGGGCTAGTCCAGGGGGTCCAGTGGGTCCAGGCCCCGTCCGCTGGCAGCAAAAAGGAGACGTTAACTGAAATTTTTTTTTCATGTATAATTATTAATTATTCCGGTCGGATAGTACTGGAGCTGTGGTAAAACTAAAATATATACTCTCTATAAATAATACAACTAATGATTAATTACATGAGACAATACTAGCCAAAGATACTAGCGGATGGATGGGTGACCTGTCTCAACCGTCTGGAAACTTTGTCGTGCTGTGTTTCATGGCAAGAGCAGCAAGAGTGTAAAAATCTAATGACACACAATCTATGCACACCATGCTGATTCTGCCTGTTAGAGGACGGATTTACTCCAACCGGTGATAACTGTGAAAAAGTGGCATTAAAAACTTAAAAAGCTGTGCTGTGAACTGTGAACTGCAAAAACCATCGTGGATCGTGGCATAACGTCGGTTTCCAATGTTTCATAGGTATTTCATACATGCGTCCTTATATAAAATAAAGTTTCTTGTATGCAACACACTGTGTTTTATTTATAAAATTAAACAAAAATAATAATAAATTTGAATAAACAATATTTGGCGACATAATTCCGGAAAAAGCCGAACCGCTCCGAAATTTTCAAAAGTTTTGGGTCGCGACCGCGACCGTTGCAAGGATAGCGCCAAATAGTGTTTACATTGTCCTTATGGGCACTTTCCAATCTAAACTTGTTTCATTTATCTATGGGCTCTTGTCAGGTGTGATAAATAAAAACAGATGGGAAATTTTATTTAATCAGTATTATACTTAAAATTTACTTTTTTACACACATCTTAAACTTTTCATGCAAATTACTTTATAAACGATTATTATTTAACTATCCAGGTAATTTTCTTTCCAGGCATTTTTCTCTCTAACACAAAAAATTTGACAACTTTCTTATTTTAGATGTCCAATATTATTCCACCTTTACTTAGCAACTCACCTCCTCCACCTCCAGATATAGATGAAGAAGATGATGATTTTGGAGATTTTGCTGCTCCAACTGATGTATCATTTGATTGTGATAGTAAGTACTTACTTTACAAATGTTGGTATACCCAAATGTTTTTAAAAATAAAATTAATTTTTTATAGATTACTCTTTACCTTCAACACCAACAGATTTACCAGATAAACAATTTGGAAGTTTTGTTCCAAATGAAATTTTAGATATTAACAGAAATAGTAATGAAGATATAAACCATATTTTTGGAACTGCAGAATTAGGATTATCAAAAGATTTTTGTGACAAAAGAAAAGATCAAAATTCAGCTTCTAAAGATATATATGAGAAAAAGAGTAATTCAAAAGATTATGATGAGTGTCAGGTTAAAGTAAATGAAAGAAGTCGTTTTGAAGAGAGTGCAAATTTAGGCGATGAAAAACATGTCAATTGTAGAAACAATGAAAGTGGTTCATTGAAAAGTGATACACCTGTTGTCTCTGATATCTTAGAAGATTTTACTACACAAACACACTTTATAGAAGATAATAAACCAAACAGTGTTCATATACCTAATGAAATCAATGGAACTAACTGTGATATAAAAGAAACCTCTATGGATAAAAATAAATCTAAAGATACTAGTAAAGAGAGTGTGAACCTAATATACAAATCAATACATAATGATTTGACAAATGGAAGTGTTGTTTCAAATAGTAGCTCTACCAACAACAAAGATTTAAATAATGAGTGTATTAAATATATCACAAACTCTTTTATAGAGTGTGAAAGTCATATTAGAAATACAGATGTAGATATCAATTTTAAAAATGTACCAATGACAACTATATCAAATGATGTTACTGAAACAAGTAGCGAATTAAATGATTCCTTTAATAAAAACAAAACTATGAATACATTACAAAACACATTTCTTACAACAGAAGTAACAATTGATCGTGATGTTGATATAAATAAAGAAAAAGAACAAGCCAAGACTAATTATCAAGCAGTTATTAACACTGAAGAAGATAAGTTTAAAATTGATAGTGGTTTTGACAGTTTTGAAACAGGAGTCCAATATACAACGGAAGAAAAAACTATAAAAGATATTGACAGTGATGATTTTGTCTCTGTGAATAAAACCTCTAAAGAGAAAAGTGATGCTAATAGTGAACCTATATTATTCGAAGTTGGTTCAAATAAAACTGACAGAGAGGACTCAGATGATGAGTTTTCTGAATTTAAATGCAGTAATAATAGTAACTTCACGTCATTTGTTGTTGGTTTAAATAAAATTCAGGATAACTCAGATAATGAGTTTGCAAATTTTAAATATGGTAGTCATAATGCTGAGCACAAATCTTTTGAATATAATTCAAATAAAGTTCAAATGGTTCAGTCAGATGACAAATTTGCAAGTTTTAAAACTGGCACTTACAACAGTGATCACACATTGTTTGAAGATAGTTCAGATAAAGACCAGAAGGATAAGTCAGATGATGAGTTTGCAGATTTTAAATGTAGTCATAATATTAGTCAAACCTTTGAAGATAATTCGAATACATTTCAAAAGGGTGTGTCAGATATTGAGTTTGCAGATTTTAAATGCAGGAACCATAATAGTGAGCACACATCAATCATAGTTAGTTCGAATAAGACTCAGAAGGATGAGTTAGGTAATGAGTTTGTAGATTTCCAGTGTAGTAGTAACAATAGTGAGCAGCGCACATCATTTGATGTTGATTCAAGTAATGTATCTACTACAAATGAAGATGATGATTTCGGTGAATTTGCAAGTACATCAAATTCTGAAAATGATAGTATTCAGATTGGTATTTCTACAAAACTGCTATTAAACGAGAAGGAAGCATTTGATAAATCAGTAGAAATACTTAAAAAAATGTTTCCTGTAGAAGATGTAGCTGCAAATAATTTTCAAAATAATGATTTTACTGAAAATGACAAAATTTTTAACAAAATTAAAAATGTGACAGAAACTCATGCTTTGTCATTCCACTGGCCTAAATCAGCAAGTCAAAATTTATTATTGAAAGCATTAAATATTGACTCTAGAAATATAGTAAGTATTTGGGATTTAAGAAATAAATTCTTAAATATGGCCATATTAACCTTTTTCAGTTATTTGGATCAGGTTGGAATTCTACAATGCCAAGATTTGCTGCTAATTTAAGTTTGACTCCTCTAGAACCAATAAAGTCTGAATCAGTCCTGCATGTATCAACTAGTGCAGCTGAATTGGAACCACAGAGCGCTGTTCAATTTGCAGTAAATAGTGAGATAAATTTTGGAAATTTGGCAGAGGCAGAGCAGTTTCATTGTGAGTATTTTTTAATTTTTAATCTTTCACTTGCTTTGTTTAAAGAAAAGAAGTTAAAATTCTTCTCCATTTGTGTTTGGTGAATTTAATTTCTTGAAAATTTATTGAATGGAAGTTTTTAAAGTTGTACTTACCTTAGACTAGTGAATACATATAAATTAGTTCCTTACAAAATATTTTTTTTATATCTGTGCTTATCATTCAAATTATAAATTCAAAATCCAATATTTAATACTCTATTGTTACCACATTACTAATAAGACCTCTCATATTTCTTAACTGCATTTTGACATCTGATCTGCAATATCTGTTAAATAAGTATTTCCTATCACAATATTTTTATATATGTATATTTTTCTTGGATCTTAAAAATAATACCTAATTTCTAATATGTTATTACTATTTTTCATGCTCACTATTGGATTCCCCTTTACATTATCCCTCTTCAATCCCTAAAATATCTCCAATTCATAATGATGTAGATTCTCAATTAATGCTACTAGATATAGAACAACTAGTAACACAGCCAGATATTCCTATTAAAGCTAATTCTCCATGCCATTCACCTATTTTAGATAACTGGGAAATATGGCTACAGCGTAAGTAATTACATTAATTAAATATTTGCGAAAATATATTTATAGTAATATGTGTTAAATATTGTTAATTCGGAATCTAATTGAAAAATATTGTTCAAGCTTTATCATCAAAGGATACTGACAAGTCACTACAAAATGTCAAAGGTGCCGATGCTACTTTGAAGATTGAATCTGAATCTGAATGTGGAATAAATAAAAATAATACTGAACAGAAAAGTACACCGATTATACACCAAGAAGATTTTGACGATTTTGTGTCATACTCTGAAGTTCCGTCCTCGGGTCATAACGTTCTGTTACGAGAAACTCACATATCTAGCAAAGATTCTAGTAAATCTGAAGATGATATTGTCAGTTGGCTTGAGCCTACAATTGTTACTCCAGAACTTTCACGACGAGAGCGTCAGTACGTGGAACCAGATGAAGAGTTTGATGATTTCCAAATGACTGTTCCAGATGACCAAACACCGAAAATATTAGATTCTTCTTCAGCATTAACTGTAAAGCCTTTAGAAAATGCAGTAGGGCAGAAACCAATATCTTATATTGAGAAAAATGCGACTCACACCTTTATAAAATCAGAATTAAATAAACCAAAAGAAAATGATGATGAGTTTGGTGACTTCACGTTTTCTTTACCTAAAGAAAAATCTACATTATCTGTGCCTTTTGAAAACTCTAAATTGGGAAATTCTAGTGGCGTTGTAGAGAGTATACCTACTCCAGCTTTAGAACCTCTTAAACCAAGTATCGTGTACGCACCAACAACATCCAAGGAAATAAGTTGGCCAGATCCAGGAATATCCGAGGAAGAAATAAAACGTTTTGAATCTTTATCCTATTCGCGGGTTAGTGACGATAATTTGAAGGACAAACATAAAGACCCTGGTATTACCGTCAAGAACAATATTGAAAGAAAAACATCTCCTGTAGTTGATTCTAGTGAAACGTTAAGAGGACAAAATGTATCAAGTCAAAAATTAAAACAGAGAACGGTGGATGACGATGAATGGTCAGATTTTGTATCAGTACAGTCATCACCTCTCCATAAGATAAAATCAGAAAAAGAGAGAAGTTCTACACCAGATTTGCCATTATCTGTATTAAATTTGGGCAATATACAACCGACCAAACAACCAATTCCAGTTATCACCCCCAATGGTTTAGTTCAAACCAAACTGGCATCCAACGTGTCGCTGAATTTCCCGATAATGCAAAATAATCGAATGTATCCTCAAACTCAAGGTCAAAGTAGTTCCAGTTATCAACCGTCGATAATAAGTAACCAGTTTGCCAGTCAAGCTTTTGGCGGTTTTGGTAACTACCAAGCTAATACGTCGACGAAATCTCAGCTACCTGAAAACGCAGATGATGATGAATGGAGTGATTTCGTATCACACGAGGCTTCAAGTCAGAAACCTTCTCATCCAAAAGGAAGTTGGTCCAATCAACCTAATCAGTTTTCTAGTTGGATGAGCGCCACGCCAAACATTATTACCAATCCAACTGCCAATTTGGAAGTGATAAGTTCTAGTGATCTAGAAAGACAAAAACAGCATAAAAGGGGTCCCAATACAAGTACACAAAGTAAAAAAAATAGTGTTCCGAACATGGCATTACCCGATTTAGACTTTTTTTCGCCGAGAAATAGGACTAATCGAAAATGACTAAAGGAGCAAGTTATGTTGTAATATGTTGTACTTAAAAAGTGGCCTCTTATTTGGTCGATGTAGATCTAAAATGCACAAAGTGATCACGATAAAATTTATTTATTTTCTTTTAAAATATAAAATCAGTTACAGAATAAATTGATTTTGTGAGTTCTCTAAACGTTTTAAAATTGGGAGGTTTAAAATCGAATCAGTCGTAAGAAGGTAGGAAATAAAACATTATTACAGAAAATTACATTGTTACGTTCTCTCAGCTCTCAGCTGCAAAAAGAAATAAATATAGCAGTGAGTAAAATTATATACGGTGATGTCAAAAATATATTCTTTGGACAATTAGTGTATAGGTAAAAACAATGGTGGTGTAAAAAGACAGAGACGAAATTATAGTAATAATTCCAATGATGTTAATTTATGAGGTATGATCGATAAAACGGCATCAATTAGGTTTGTAAATGACGATGAATCATTTTCTCTATTTATAATTTTATATATAAAATGACGGCGATCTTCGTTTCCAAGTCAACCCTGATGCCGTTTCTTTATCGTATCCTACTTTATTTTATTCGCTATAAATATTATTAAGGTATCTGTGATTGAAATTTGTTTGTTTTTATTTATTTTGCGATTTAATTTTGTTTCAATGTTATTTTAATCAAGATATATTGCTGCAAAGGCTGTAGATTCGAACAAGTTGAATAAACAATAACAATTATTACTTAATATTTAATAGTATTCATTGTATGTTATTCTATTAAGCTATTTAAGTTGGTTTATCAATTTCGTAGGATATATAAAAGTATTAATTTTACGTACTTTAATATGGACTAGATATATTTAATTAATATTTTCCAGTCATTCACAATGATGTGATTGAGATTAATATCTGCGTACTTTTGTAAAAATTGTAAAAATGTATTAAAACAATAATTTATTTTTGAAAAGTGATATTATTTTATTTGTCCATGAAAATGTTTTTGGGGGATATATAAGAAGGGTTTTATAAACGTATTATTTATCTCTACTTACTATAAGATTTACTTTTAATACAGTATTAGATAACTTTAGTGGGATTACTTTTTTTTCTGAATATTTATAGAGAAAAAAATAAAAAAATTTGAAAACCGTTTTTCTCTATTATGAGGGTGGTGGCTGATAATTATGTTAAATCAATTACCTATATTTTTTAATTTTGATTTGGCTGACAGTGTTTAATAAAGTTGCATTAGAGCATCGTTGATTGAAAGAATTGGGATGATACGCAATCTAATGGGCAAATTCGTGACAAGGCTGATTTGATTTCTTCTTACGTCTCAAATGTCGTACGGTGGAGACACCAATCGTTCTGCGGTCAACGCATAAAACACTTATTTTCTCTAATTCGGCCAGCGAAGGCATATCGAAGACGGTGTGGATCTGAGCGACAGTGTTGCCATATTAAAATGTGTAATATCTGTAATAAACTTGACGAAAATATCATTGGATGGAAAATCCGCGTTTATGTATTGAAAATTTATTCGTGTTAAACAACAAAAATAAAAATTCATTATAAGTACTGAATATTTCGTACGATCGAAAAAAAGTGATTTAGTTGGCTTGAAAATTAGGGTTATTGACATTTACCATAATATTTTACACGTGAAGTAACAGCGATCTTCATTTCCAAGCCAACTCTGCCGCCGTTCTTTGTTATATTATATTAAATTTTGTTTAATGATAGAAAATCCGTATTATTAACGTACTGTACTCAAAATCCGTAAATCTACGGATTAATCAGTAGTTATGGCAACACTGTCTCCGGCAACCATTCACTCTGTCGACTGAAATCAGAACTACGGTACAGTATTCCTTATCAGCTGCGCTGTAAAAGAACAATAGCGCGCAGCAGCGTAGAGCTAAACTAAATCTCGGAATTCTCGGACAGGCTGACGGTAACGCCAGCTATATCTCGACCAGGTTTTGTGCTACGAAATCGCCTATAAGGTTGCGCATTTTCTTATTTCTTCAATCAAGGGTTGTATGTATTATACAGTATGTCCCGGATTGTCTTTATAAGAGGAAAAACTTTTTTATTATTGACATTTAGAGGAAAATACATTCTTCATAAAGAGGTTTGCTTGTTCTAAAATGGTTAATCCCGTTTATACTTTTCCAAATTTCCATACCGTTTCTGAGAAAATTAAAAAAACATGAAAATATGGTTGAATTTTTTTCCTAAAAATCAAAAGGCGTTTCTATGGTAATATTTCGATTTCATTCTTCCACTCTATCAGGTTCTTATTAATTTTGATTAAGGTCAAATTTTTTCCTGTTGTTAAACTATCACATTTTTCTATAACTATTATCACCCTTTCCGTAGCATTGAACTAAATAAATGTTGTGCTTCTTGTAACATTTTAAAACAGCAAAAATATTACTAATTAAAATTCTATCAATAACAATATATCAAAGAATGAAATTGGAGTCATAGTACGAAAGCTAGCAACGTCGGAAAAACAAGTATTTTAAGACGTCTGGCTATTTGATATATCTTTTACTATGCTCTCTAGAACAGCATGCGGCCCGTCTGGCTGCCGGTAAACGTTGGGTTCCCTACTGCGCATTGAAAGAAGATTCTATATTTTTATTAGTCCTCTAAATTCTAGTTTAGTTAATATTTTTCTAAATTAATAAAAAATATAGGATCTTCTTCCGATGCGCAGTAGTGAACGCAACGGGTATCGGCAGCTAGACGGGCATGCTGTTCCAGAGAGCATAGTAAAAGATATATCAAAGAGCCAGACGTCTTAAAATACTTTCTCGAAAACGTTGCTATATAGCTCTTAGACTATGATATTACCATATAAACGCCTTTTGATTTTTAGAACTTTCAACCGTATTTTCCTGTTTTTTTTTAATTTTTTTCTAAAACGGTATGGACATTTGGAAAAGTATAAACGGGATTAACCAATTTAGAAGAAGCAAACATTTTTAGGAAGAATTCATTTGTTTCAAAATATCAATAATAAAAAAGTTTTTCCTCTTGTAAAGACAATCCTGGGACATACTGTATATCTTATTTTAATTCGTAGACTAATTTTATATTTTTATTTTATTCTATTAGTCAGCCATTACTCTTTAAATATTCATAATAAGTTTTTGAAAGTCGGTTGTTTATATAGGCAAGCACATTTAATATGTATTTCTTTATTTTTACATTATCACTGTTGTTTATAGAGTAGGTAAATAATATATAACATATTGTTATTGTATATCATTCCAAATAAATTTATTATAAGTAATATATCTATATTTTTTAAATTCCCCTTATTTATATTAAGGTGCGTACAGATACAGCGAACTAACGGTGTACGGTATAAACGAGCACATTAGTTTTTGTTAGGGTTCGCTTGTTTGAAGGCATATCAAAGGATGTTCGCTACATCGCAGCGAATTTGTTCGGTTGCGTACTGCACATTGAAAGGAGATCCTATATTTTTTATTAGCCATTTAACATTTAAATTCTAGTATTGAATATAAACCGAGCAGTCTCCATAGCGCGGCGCGAAAAGGTTCCGCCTATGAAGCAAGGAGTCCGAGTTCAAGACCGGCTCGGGGTATAGAACTTTTTATTTTATTTTCATTTATATTTTGATAGTAAAGTATGAAATAATTCTGGTGATTCAAAAAAACAAATATTTAATACTTTACTATCAGAATATTGTCAAGGTGTGTGTGATGACATCTGTCGGAGAAGGGAATAACCGCGAACGTGTTTTGGTGATTGAGGTTTCATCTTTAATACAGGACATTTGTTTGAAGCGCCATCTCTTAGACTCAAGTGGAAATAGAATTTACTGGTACCAAAAAGAACGTTACAGATAATTTTCGAACATTCGAGACGCGATGTATTTCAGGAAAATATTTTAACTTCTGTAGGGTGGCTCAAAAAAATGTGAGTGGACCTGGATAATTTTTTTCAAATGGAACACCCTGTATATTATTGCATTTTTGGCTTCTTTTCAGATCACTTTACACACCCCAAAGATATGAATAAATATATTTCGATAGTTTCAGAGATATTCAAAAATAAATCAAAAATATATATTTTTCAGCCCTTATTAAAAAAAAAATATTAAAAATACAGGAACTGTTCTGAAATCAAAACTATATTAGGTATTTACTTTAGATGGTCTGTACTTACTTTGCTATAAATATGAAAATCGTAAATCATACAGGATGTTCAAAATTCTACGCCAAACTTTCTAAAATATAAAATAATTTTTCTTCGTTTTTTTTAATGGAACTTTTAATGGCCTTGTATATTATTTTTTCAGTAGACGGAGAATTAAAAAATGAACATTTTTTGTATTTTAGAGTATTTCAAAATTTTTAACGGTTTCGCAGATATTTGCGGTTTTATATTTCATATGGCATTTTCCACAGTAAATTTTTATCAAAGCCACCCAATGATTTTTCTCTCGTATTTTACCATTGAAAGCGCCATATGATATAATACTGCGCGTATTCGGAAAACTATTAAAAATTTTGAAATACTTTAAATACAAAAATGTTCATTTTTTAATTCCCCATCTAATAAAAAAATAATATACAGGGTGTTCCATTTAAAAAAACAAAGAAAAATTATTTTATATTTTAGAAAGTTTGGCGTAGAATATTGAACATCCTGTATGATTTACGATTACCATATTTATAGCAAAGTAAGAATAGACCATCTAAAATAAATACCTAACATAGTTTTGATTTCAGAACAGTTCTTGTATTTTTAATAATTTTTTTAAAAAGGACTGAAAAATATATATTTTTTATTTATTTATGAATATCTTTGAAACTATCGAAATATATTTATTCATATCTTAGGGTTATGTAAAGTGATCTGAAAGGAAGCCAGAAATGCAATAATATACAGGGTGTTCAATTTAAAAAAATCAACCAGGTCCACTCACACTTTTTTGAGCCATCCTATAGAAGTTAAAATATTTTCCTGAAATACATCCTGGTACATACTTTAGGTCTACACTTAAATAAAATTCTCAAGTTTTTTATTCTAGGAGCTACAGATGCCCGACGCACTATTGCCGGACCCTGTATAGTGAGAAAATAAATTCGTTAAGTGTTTTATTGGGAGTTTAAATTAGTCGAACCACGGAATTCGTAACAATATAAACGAAAATAAAATAATTAAGTTTTATACCCCGAGCCGGTCTCGAACTCGGACTCCTCGCTTCATAGACGGAACTTCTGCGCGCCGCGCTATGGAGACTTGCTCGATTCAGTAGTGAACGCAACGTGTATTGGTAGCCAGACGGCCCACATGCTGTTCCAGAGAGCATAGTAAAAGATCAAAGAGCTAGCTTTCTTAAAATACTTTCTCGTAAACGTTGCTAGCTCTTAGACTATAATGGATATCGAATTATTAATTTCAGTCATTTTCCAATGAAACGCAGTTTTTGTCTGAAAGGCCATTCTCATATTATACTGAAAAAAACGTTCTTGTAGTTGCGATTGAAATAAATGGTGATATTCACCCTAAAATTCGTGCGTTGCGTTCTTATTGCAAATTTATTTTCCATTAATAAAAATTCTTCATCTGAAGATGCAGTTTTGTTGGTATGCAGTATCAAGTTGCTTTTAAACTGGCCGACAACCAGTATTCATTGTGTCCTATTAAGATGACCTGTAGACGCTGGTTTTCAGCGCCCGAAATCATCATCATCTACCAGCCACTAAAGTCCACTGCTGGACGTAGGCCTCCCTCGTTTGCTTCAATAACTCTCTAAATAAGAATGTCTTGTTTTCACTTTTGCAACTAAATAGTCGGCCGACTGAAAATTGCACGTCCGCACGTCGATGCGTAGCCTTAAGATACAAGTTTTTTTGCGAATAAAAAATATTTCAATTATTTTTTTTTACTATAATAGTTTTTCTATGCGTATACTAATTTATTTACAATAAACTATAAAAAATCACAGTTGAAACTATGCTAAAGGTACTTGGTAACAATATGTTTGCATTTGCTGCATACACTAACGACTGATACAAAGCGACATCATTTTTGTTTGTCATCCAGCCTATAATTGGTTCTTTTTTATTTGCTTCTCTTAACCAAAGAAGTAGAGGTTCGAAATAATTCAACATAGGTTCAGCTGATAGCTTTTCTGATTTTCCTCTTGTTAGCATTTTAATGACATTCTGCCAGTGACTCGCTTTGCCAACTCTGAGTACGTCACTGAAATAAAAGACATTTGGTAATAATTAATTGAAAAAGCATCTACTACTATATTTAACTACTAACCTTAAGACTCTTCCAGCTTCTCTAGATCGGTAGACATCGCAGGTGTGTAAAGGCCCCGTATGGCCTGCAGCGCTGCACATAGCTTCGTGGATTTGGAACTCTAGTAACAAAGCTACGTAATATTTAACGTAGGAGATATCGGCAGGTATGTGTCTTTTTGCAGCGGCATCAAAGTGACTTTCTGTTCTTGGTATTGGGGGTACCACTCCTTGGAATCTTAGACGTAAGCTCCACCAGTCAGAGTTCATCTTCATAACTCCTTGTCGAAAGATTTGATACCTCCACTGGAATTGATTAAGATGATCAGTAGCATTTCAAACATAATAACGAAACAAATGTAAGTTTTATTTACTGTATCTCTATTTTGAGCAGCTATTATAGAAATAAGTTATCTCTGAAAAGTATACTGGAATAGTTTAGAGTATGATGCTAATTAGCAACTGTTATTTGGTTCAAGCAACTTTCCGCTGTTGTCGGTTCTAACAAGTAGCGGCTTAAAATGAAAATTGCAATCTCCTAGTAGTTGTATAATTGTAAATTCTAAAAAACTTCTTGGCTTAATCTAAGATAGAAACACAGGGTAGAAACTAAACAGTTATGCGGCCGAAAAAATTGTTATAATACTCTCATAGCATTGAACAACGCGCCGCCACTGCCTTTGGTGGCCCAGCTACTTATGTCATCACTTTCAAAAACAGCATAACTAAAGTTCTATGCCTTTCTTCAGATTCCTAATAAGTCAACAAAAAATTGTTTTCATTACCTGGTCGACAATATATGCAAATGGAGCATAAGCTACTTTTCTTAAGGCCATAAGCATCAAGAAATTGATATTGTGTTCGTAGCCTTCAGTTTTATTGTTGGATAAACCCATTCTGTAGAAGTGGGTAGGATTGAACACAGACAATATTATAGCATTAGCTACAGCTTCATGAAAACCTGAAAAAAATTGTAGATTTATTAGGGTTACCTATTTTATTATACTATCGTTATACCAGGATTAGAGCCATCCCTATATAGAAAAGGCTGGTCCGAATAGTATAAATAATACTCGATATGTGCCATTTCATGGTGTGTGTCGATAAGGTTTTTCATGTTTACTTCCGTACATTGCTTAATTCTGAAATTGTTTTTACACAACATGGTATGTTTCCTCTTACGTCAGGTGATGGACGGTGAGGACAAAGGTTGAAACTTATCTTAATATCAAACTTTATCTCATTGCTAATGCTTATCAAAAACTAATCTATTATAGGAGTCTATTGATACATTCATTATGTGCGGTGGATTTCCAAGAAAATCCTATAGGGGCCATCCAAATGCAGAACAGGAGAACTCTTAAAGGCCGGTAGATATGGAGCGCGTACGCTCATTGTAGTATACACGGACCACTGCCGGTTGAGATCACACCTACAGAGGATGGAACTGGTGGAAGACGCCGAATGCCGACTCTTTATGGAAGATGACGAAACTGTGAAGCACGTTATGTGTGCCTGTCCCGCTGGGAATAGGACCAGGTTTCAAGTGTTAAGCAAAACCGAGCTAGACCTGTCAGACCTAGGAGACATATCACCCTCAGACATAACAGCCCATGTTAAAAGGTTGGGTCTTGAGGGTGAACTTTAACAATCTTTTTTGTTTAAAGAGTTTTGTAGTACTAAGTTCACAATAGGCCCTCGAGGCCTCAGTCACAGAATATCTAGCTACGCAACAGAAAAATACTCGAAATGAAAGAGCTAAAATTGCACAAATAAAATACTAGATGGCGCGACAATATCATAATCAGAATATAATTGGAAATATTGAATTTTCGGTTTTCAATCGACGATAGATCGACGGCTCGTCGACGGCCGTGAAGCTCGGCTAAATATGCACAGTTGCCAGATTCAAATAGACTTTAATTCGCATCCCATTCTTTTTCTTGTGTATAATAGTTTCTTTCTATTCTTCTTTTCTTGTCAGATACACTTATATTAATTATTCGTTTAGCTTTTAAAATAGTTTTAAGTATATTATTACAAAACATATACATTTTTAATATACACTGCCTTATAATGTTAACTAAGAAAATACCTTTAAAATTAATAATATATGTACAGGGCGATTGATAGTGATATTTATTAATGCTGGAACGTTAGTAATATATAGTAGTATAATATCATACTCGGCATAAAAGTTGCTGTCACGACATCGTACAATAAATTAAAATTCGTAAAATAAATTAAATTTATTAATTAAACAAATCTTTATAATAGAAACGCAAGTATACCAAATTTGGGCCCAATCGAAATCCAGGAAATGATAATATTGTACTATATTATGCTACCATTCGATATGCTTCAAGGTACCATAATATTGCAATGTCACTGAAGATCCGTAGTATACCAAGTTTAAGCCCAATCGAACGCCAGGAAATGGTATCGTAATATGGTACTACATTATCGTACCTCTTATTGATATGCTTCATGGTACCATAGTATTGCAATGTCATAAAACATACGCAAGTATATATCAAATACGAGCTGTCACTGACGATACGTAGTATACCAAGTTTAAGCCCAATCGAACGCCGCGCCATGTACGTAATATGGTACTGTATTATGGTACCACTTTCTGACATTCGATTAGGCTCATATTTGATATATACTTGCTTAATTTTGATGACATTGCTATATTTTGATACCATGAACCATAACAAGTGGTACCATAATATAGTACCATATTATGTACATGGCGTTCGAATAAACTTGGTATACTACGTATCTTTGGTGACATTGTAATTTTATGATACCATGGAGCATATAAAGTGGTACCTTCTATAGTACCATATTATATTACCACTTCCTGATGTTCGATTGGGCTCATAACTTGCGTATTTTTGATGACATTGCAATATTATAGTACCATGAAGTTTATCAAGTGGTACCCTAATATAGGTCCATACTATATATGTACACGGCGTTCGATTGGGCTTAAATTTGGTATACTACGTATATTCAGTGACATTGTAATATGGTACTATGATGCATGTAAAGTGGTACCTTCTATAGTACCATATTATGATACCACTTCCTGACGATCGATTGAGCTCATATTTGATATATAATTTCGCATTTTTGATGACATTGCAAAATTATGATACCATGAACCATATCAAGTGGTACCATAATATAGTACCATATTACGTACATGGCATTCGATTGGGCTTAAACTTGGTATACTACGTAACTTCGGTGACATTGTAATATGATGGTACTATGATGCATATAAAGTGGTACCTTCTATCGTACCACATTATGATACCACACAATATCACTGAATATACGTAGTATACCAAATTTAAGCCCAATCGAACGCCGTGTTCATATATAGTATGGTACTATATTAGGGTACCACTTGATAAACTTCATGGTACTATAATATTGCAATGTCATCAAAAATACGCAAGTTATGAGCCCAATCGAACATCAGGAAGTGGTAATATAATATGGTACTATAGAAGGTACCACTTTATATGCTCCATGGTATCATAAAATTACAATGTCACCAAAGATACGTAGTATACCAAGTTTATTCGAACGCCATGTACATAATATGGTACTATATTATGGTACCACTTGTTATGGTTCATGGTATCATAATATTGCAATGTCATCAAAATTAAGCAAGTATATATCAAATATGAGCCTAATCGAATGTCAGAAAGTGGTGTCATAATATGGTACTATAGAAGGTACTGCTTTATATGCTCTCTCTAAATACTTAACGTTTGAAAAAATAGCTCTGATCTATTTTAATATGTTTAAATTTGAAGGTAGGCTTTATCAGGAAGTATTACAATATGAATTACACAATGGCAACACTGCACAAAATTCTTTTAAATTTCGTTTGTAGAAAACTGTTTTCTTTAAAATTTATCGCCCTCTATTATGTAGTAGCGAAACTACCGCATCAAAATATCTGATTTGGAGACAGGCTTTAAAAGCCTGTCTCCTTTTGATACCTACAATTTTATGCGTGTAACGAGTAGTGATGGGAATAATCGAATTATTTTCACCATCGAATAATTAGTAATGATTCATATTTCACAATCGAATTAATAATTCGAATTATTTAGTAGTATTATAAATTTAACCTAAAAATAAATTCGTCCCAGCTAGTGCTCGTCTAGGGGCTATTTTAAACAAATTATGAACCATTGCCATACCTATATTCTATCACTGAATAAAAAATAAAAAAAATATTCTTTATTCAATGTATTCTATTAACTGTGCCGAAGCCGTTTAATAAATTAAACCATAATTTAAAGTTTTAAATTTAAAAGTGCCGAGTATCGTATTTTTTCGTATTTCTTTTTATTTTATCAGTTGCAATCAATAATTATTTAGATAAAAGAAGAAAATTAATTTTAGTGTTCGGCAGGTGTTCGGTGAAATTTGGGTGAGATGGAAATGAACCAAATAATAGTAGTAGGTATTCTTTCGTTCTCAACGAAATGAAAATTTTCACTTAAGCTGATTTATTCCTACGTGGTATAGGAAATAACAATGATTTCTGGATTTTTCTATATCGGATCGTTCCTTTCTTTGTCGATTCCCTTTATAAATCAGTTTAAGTGAAAATTTTCAGTTCGTTCAGAACGAAAGAATACTACTAATAGTACTATACTAATTACTAATATTCGTATTCGTCCATAGGAGGTTATGTTTTATGTTCATTTGTAATTCGGTTAACCACAGATATAATATAAAATACTACTAATTTTTATCTCGATATATCGAAAAAGATAATTCGAATTAGTTAGTTTTAATTTACTATCGAATTAGTCGTATTATTTAATTCGAATTTTCCCAACACTAGTAACGAGGCTTCTGTTGCGTAGCTAGATATTCTGTGCCTCAGTGGAGTCCTGTCCCACTGTTAATAAATTCAAATTCAAATTCAAATTTCTTTATTAGACCCCATTAAGTTTTACAGAATAATATTAGTATTAATAAATGTGTGTCTAAAGGGATCGCACCGCGATTAAAAAACCGATACAATGGCACAAAGTGCCAGAGTGGTGCGACCCCAAAAAATACAGAACAATGTGCGGTCTTTGTGTGCGGTGGATCTGGTTGATGGACAGATCGGTTATTTGGTACACGCAAAGCTAAAGATTCGTCGTTGTGGTACTCACAGCGGAATAAATTAATCTAGCGGTAGTCGCGGTAATAGTTGAGTACGAGCAGTGTGTAGTGCTGTTTTTAAAATATGGATTCAATCAATAGGAGAAGAAATGTTGGACTGGAATAAGGTCTGGTTTAAACGATGGTATTCGGAAAGACAAGATATTCTCATATGAGTTTAATTGGAAACCAACGAGCCTATTGATTTACACATTTTTTTTCTTATTGAATCGTTCAAAACATTTTTGTATGCTATCGATAATACCTTCTTTTCCTTGTACCATGGTTGCGGTTGCGACGCGTCATGCGGTGATAACATATGACCTCTGATATGACCGAGCATATGACATTTATGTAATAACTTAATAAGTTGAGATTTGACCTTGTGATGTAATTAGATTTGACTTTAAGAAAATATTTGTCCTTAATATAAGATAAGATCTGATCTTAATATAAGGTAAAATTGGCTTTAAGATAAAATTTGACTTTAAGACACTATTTTAACCGTTAATCTCCACTACTGTCACAGTATTGAATTAATCATCTCGCATTAACTAACCTGTAATCTATTTTATTGCAAAAATCCCAAGCGCTTGCGGTACATTGTACTCTTCTAGCAGTTGGTTTTTCGATCATAGAGTATCTCCAAAATTCTGGAGGCATGGGTTTTAATCCTAAAGATGTATAAAATTCTTCTGCCATTTGAAATATTCTGAAACAGAATACGTACTATTCTTACATGGTGTTCTACCAAGTCTACCGAGAAACTTATAAATCATTTAAAAATACTATGTTTACAATGTTTTACCTCAAAGGTGTGAATCCCTGCCTTAACATCTCTGCCGTTGCATCGATATTACCAAATTCTGGGAAAGGAGTAACCAAATCATGTATGTTGCTGAAATCTTGAGCCCATAAATCACCTAAGATGTGGGCAGGTAAGGGACCTTCGGCTCTAACAACTTCAGGGCCATATTTATCATACAACTTTGTTCTAACGTAAGCGAACAGTTCTTTGTATAGAGGCAAAATCTGTTGAATTGTTTGTGCTAAGTTGTCCTCGAAATCGGGGGTTTCGTACACAAATTGCATTTCTTCACTAGCATCCTGAAAACCTTTGAATAATATTAGAAATGATTTGGTTTTCATGAAAAGCAACACAACATTTTTCTAATTGATGGAATTTTTAGTAGGTATATTATTATTCATAGCTAATAAAAATATTCTATGTATTTTTTACCATTGAATCTAGCTGCTTGATTAGCTAGCTCTACATATCGCATAAATTTGTTTTTCATATTAGGTCCCGTTCTATCATGCCATTCCCTCCACACATGCAACAACTCCCGAGTATCTCGAGACTTCGCAATGATTCTTTTGGCATCTTCTACATCTAAATCGCAATATATTGACTCATTTTTGTACGGATTAGAGGAGTAAGGGCATATTCTCGCGTGAGAATATAAGTCTTTCATTTCAGAGATCAAATGATATATCTAAAATTATATTTTTGATACATTGATATTTCATTGATATACAGGGTGTATCAAAACAAATGCGAACAACTTAAGGGACGGCTTCTTGGTAACAGTAAAGATCAGTTTGTTATGAACGTTGGGTCAAAAGTCAACCATTAGGGAGATATTCCAGTAAAAAGATGCCCAAAGCGATAGAATATTGAAATTTTACCATAGTATTAGAGCCAAAACACGCGACGGCTTTAGGGCGGCGCACAGTGATGCCGAAAACGCGAAAAGTGGCAAAAATTAATTTCGCAACTTACTGCTACATTTTTTAAAATTATTTTTGTTAAATGTGGTGTTCTAAGTGTATAAGTGATGTGTGTGTTTGGAATTCAGAAAATTGATTTTTGAAATTGATTCAGAATTTATGTATACAGTATGTACTTAAATTGGCTGTAAAAAATAAAAAATGGGTGTAAAAAATTTAATTATATTATTTTGTCTTCAATAGCATATTAATTTAATACTCTATTCTTTGTAAAGTTTAAAAAATCAAAAAAAGTTTGTGTAAACACATTAATAAATATACAGGGTTTTATTTTCGGCCCCTTACAATAGAATTAGCATTTCGTTTTTACTGTAATTAATCCTTTTTTCAGAACTAGTTACCAATAAGTATTACTTAAATTCAAGATATTGATATTCATTTCCATGAGAAAAAAAAAGAAAGTAAATACATCTGTATATTTTATGTAGTTAGATATTAATGAAAGTAACACCCTTGATTAAGGGTAACACCAAAACATCTAAAAGACTGAGCGCTCTTTTCGCATTAGATGTAAGCATTTGTTCACTTACAACCATTTAATTTTAGTTATATTTTTAAATGTTCTATAATTTAGAAATATCTGTAATTACCTGTGGTAAAAATATTATACTTAGATGATAATTAGAACTTAGTTACAAGAATTTAATACGCAAGAAAAAGAAACTGAAAATTATCCTAAAGCTTCTAGATAAGATGGATAATATATTTAAGATGGATTTAGCACATGGATAAAAAAATAGAATAATTTTATCTATAATAAGTTTTGGAGCCTCAGGATGCTGTTCTATTTTACTTGACAGGAGAAGTCTTGGTGATCTCTTACTATATCCGAGAAAATTAGTATCTAGAAGGTGCATGACATTCTTGATAAAAGTTGTTGAATGAATATTGACATTGACACGTCTTTTTTTTTAGTTTATATTAACAATAATTATTCAAAATTAATGAGATTTCTAATAATATTAAATTTAATGTCATATAAGCACAAAACGAATAAAAACTTGGCTTAACAGGGAAAAGCTAGTTAAAATTACACATTAAAAAGTATTTTTAAATTTGGATACTTTGTATATCGAAAATTAAATTGAATAAGAGAAAATATATTACAGTTTCCTTTCTAAAACTAATTAAAAATAACCAACAACAATATTTTACAGCACCTAAGAAACACCCAGTAATATACTGTCATACGTAATTTATTTTGGGAAACTAAACCATGGTTTTCGGGAGAGTTAGACAACCTAAAGGGTATTTGTGGGCTAATGTTGGTCATGAAACTTCGTAGTTATGAAGAAAAAAGGCTAATACTTGTAACCTACGTCATATTTTTTTGGAGCAATTGGGAGCAATTTGTAAAAGCTTACATAAAATGTGATTTTAGATTAAGTAGTTCTTAATTACAACAAGGTCTTTATTGATTTTTTTTATGGTACCAGGGAAGTTAAAACTAGAATTACCATGAGGAAAAACAGTTGAAAACATTGTACTTTCTCAGAATACTTTTTACTTTACAAAATTTTTAACTAATTTATCACCAACGTTAAACGCACTAATTTTATTTAATCAAAATTTTATCAAAATATTTTAGCTTCAGCTAATAATTTTATAAGTTCGAACATTTCTTATCAGGGATTAATAATGGGCCCGTTTTCATTCAAAAATCTTCATGATTCTGAAAATATGGTCTATTAGGAACTATACGAGTGAAATTATAATTAAAAAAAAAATACTTTTGATATTTTGATTTTCTGCCGCTTTTGGGAACTTCTGCATCACTGTGCGGCGCGGTGCCGCCCTGCTCCTGAAAAGGGACTTCAGTGTTACACTGTGGTGTTACAAAACACACGGTATCACATGGACGAAGCGGTTAAGATCAAATTCGCGCCGCCTATAAACCACCCAAAAGCCTGTGTTTTGACTCTTGCTACTATGGAAAGCACACCTTCTGCATATTTTTTTAGTTGATAAAAACTACCCCTATAATTCTTGTTGACTAAATTATAGATAAACCTACGCAGCGCCTCGCCTTGGAGAAGATTAAATTTGGATAGTATTGTTAATATAAAACCCTATACTAATCTATAGCTTTATAACTATAATGTTTTTTTAATGTTTATTAATAAACGATAATTCTATTACCCGGCCGTATAGCTGTAGCCATTAAACCAAAATATTACTAAATCTATATCTCTGACTACTACCAACTGCTACCCTTGTTTATATCTACTAACCTATATTTTGTTTTGTGTGGTCTGTGGTTTGTTTTTTGTTTAAATGTTTTATTCATTATTCATGTTGGTGATTTATTTTTAAATTAATGTTTGTTTTTAAAATAATATTAACCAAATTGTCACTCTAATCGCTGTCTTTTTTAGACAGATGTCATTTGTCATTATTCAATTCATTATTCGAATTCTCAGAATGTTGTTAACATTAATCGTTTTAGTTTAAGTTCATTTAAGTTTCACAATTTTTTTCATCAATCACAATTGTTTATCTCTATCATTTACCGGATTAATAATACAGAAATTACAGCTCCAATTACAAACGCTTAATTATTTATATCGACCATTATTTATAATGATTACTACAACAATCTATCGACCTGGCGACTGCTTTGTCTGTAATAGCTTATTTTTACCTAACGTTTATATAACAAACTACCCATTTGTTTTAAATCACCCTGTATAGATATATTGGTAGTTACTTCGTTATATTTATCATCCGAGAGTGTAGCTTTGCTATTCATCACTAACATTTTGATTTGTCTTCGAGCAATAGGATCGGGAAGTCTGGTCCAATCAAATTCCACTGCTTTTCGCCATGTAATTTTACCAAATTTTTCCTGTTTAATAAAAATATCAAAAAAGTCATATAAAACAGCAGAAAAGTATTAAATATATCGTCGGTGAAATGTGTTAAACTGCTAAACTTCATTATTCCTAATTTTACAAGAGAGAAAAGAAACGGTACAAAAAATATGCACACATGTAGCAAGTATCGTATTTGTGGCAATGTGTTGAGTAACCATAAACCGCTCGCGTGAACAAGAAACTTCGAGAGTTGGCAACCCTGGTTGACGGTCGGATTATTAACCTATTATTGAGAATTGTAATGTCGGAGTATTGATATAAATAAACTTATTTTGTGTTACTAGTTTTTGATTATACTTATAGTTGTTAGTTCTTAGAGGTAACACAGTATTCATGCATTAATATGATAAAGATAAAGAAATAATAATATTTGTTGGGGAATAATAAAACTCAATAAGTCGTTTTACACTTAGCGTAAAAATTATGTATTAATTAAACTTATTATTTAATTAAAGTCAAAAATGGAGTTTAGCAGATTAACACATTTCACTGACGATATATAGTCCGCCCAACGAGAGGTTACATGACAGTTGTGTCGTTTTAATCCACATGTAAATAGTATTTTCTGTCATTTTTTCAGTGTTGTGTGTCGAAATGTTTCCTGGTTCGTTGGACAGACTGTATATCTATTTAATATTTAATGTAAATACCTTTTGATGAAACTGAAAATTATTGTTAATGGTATGAATGTGGATATTTACAAGTATAGTCTGTCCAACGAGAGGATCCATGACACTGAGACTTGCGTCTGTCATTTTTTGATTGTCGTCTGCCGAAATCTTCCCTCTGAGTCGTTGGAGAGACTTTGTATGTCTAATTCTACCTTTAATGTTTGTTCCTCAATCATCCTTCGCTTATTAAAATCAGTCATATTTGTAGAATAAGCCCACTGAGCTGAGCTAACTCGAAAACATATATTTGAAGCTTCGCTGTCATATTCTCTGAGAAATTGTAACGCTTCATCTAAATTTGAGTTGGTACCCTAAAAAAGAATTAAATTTTAATCGGTAAATGTACAGGGTGGACCATTTTGGTTGTTTCTATAGGGTATCTAGGAAACAGTAGCGTGGCAAATTCTCGCGGGGCCCACCCGCGAACTTTTTTAGGGGCCTCCTAAGTAACTCAAAAATTCCTTCAAATACATCATTTATTGTGATATCTGCTTGAAACATATTTTTTAACAAGAGCCATAATGTGATATTTTTTTATATTTTGATAATTGTTTCAATATTTATTTATTTATTATTATAGTACTCTTAAAATACTTAAACTAGAAAACAAACATTTATGCTTCTAATTAATCAAAGTTTTATAAGAAGAAAAAACAACTTAACATTTAACTACTAATAAATAAAACACAAGTTTTAGAAAGTCTATTCCTTTTTCCTCGACCTTAACAAAAGGAACTTGTTTACGAGTCTGTCCAAATCTACCTCTATGCTCGATCATTCTCAACTGATATTATGGCCAGTGAGCTTAGGCGATTTTGGGACATGTAGACCTCGCAAAACTTTTTATTTTCAGCTTAGAAGAATTTCTTTCTGGTTCAGCGGATGTTACAGGGAGAACCAGAAACAACTGGAATACAGTGCAAATCTCAGGTATACTGCTAATCAGTAATTGGGTTTTTTCAAAAATAAAATCAGAAAACTCTATGATACTGTGAAAATTTTTGATTTTTTCATCAAGTAAATTTTTTGCTTGAATTAGCTCCGATGCTAGATTTTGTGTTAGGTCGTTAGGATATTTGTCTACTAATACTTTGGCATTAGCTAAGATATCAGATTCCTGGGATTTTAACAATATTTGTGGTTTTAAATTTCAAATTTTGAATTGCGTCATACCTGATTGTAAACTCAGTTATATTATTATAAAAAATTGTGACTTTACCGACTTTTAGAATTTTCAATGGGCTCATCAGCTGCTATTTCATCAAAAAAAGGTTTGACTCGAAAAGGTTTTGTTTTTTAACAGAGGTTCAATATTCCAAGATTTTGCAATTGAAATTGATAGCTCATACACAGTTTCAAAATTGTCCCTAAGATTTTCTATTTTAACAAAAACTCCTGATATTAGATCTGTGGCCAGTCCTATGGCAAATATCATTTTTTTGTAAGCATTTTGAAAGCAAGTTAGTATATTCCAATATTGTACATTGGAAATTTAGTAAGAAAATAAATTCGAAATTTTCTATTTTATCTTCTAACATCTTGGCCTCATCTCTATCAGTTTCAGTATTAATGTTAAATTCGATAGACACTTGACGACGGACAAAAAATTAGTTTTTATCGATAGTATGCTTTCGACTCTTGACGACAATCTAGTTGGACATACTTTTTTTAAAGTTAAACCAACAGTTTTCCTATTTTTTATTTCGCAGTTTAGGCTTTGCCAACGGGGTAGACTTTCACTGAAAAGTATATAAAGACTTTGAACCGTATCAAAAAATGTCTTATCTCGCTAATATTGCTCACAGAGTCATTTAAAATAAGTGTGCTTATGTAAAAAGTCTTAGTCTAAGAGCTGGCTACATAAAAAACCTTATCATCGTTACATGGCTAATTTTTCTTGTGAAGTATCCTTTTGTGTTGCCGTTATGAAATAGTCATGTCTGCCAGCGCGATCCCGGGGCTTAAATTGGGGGCGGCCAATTGAAAGGGTGAAATTTTGACACTAAAAATACTATTAGGTACATGAGTTATAATTACCAAATAGTTTTTATTTATTATTAAGAAACGTGAGAAATTGTTGGCAGACATTTTTCTCGTTGCTAAAATGCCGGCAGACAACACTAAAGAGGCATGACATTTTTTTCCGCAGGCCATAATTTAAAAAAAAAATGGCATACATGCATGCCGATTGGTTTAATGTCATATTTATTTATTTTTATTTTAATTTATTTCTAATTTAGAAATAAATTAAAATTACTTCTAATTTATTTTATTTATTTTCTAGCGCAGATTCACCCTGTAGAGAGTAATATCGCGCTTTTGATAACTGTCTGTTGCTGATTTAGCCATGATCTTTTTGTCTGCCCTTTTTTATACGCCTTTAAAATAAATAAATATAACATTCCACCAATCAGCATGCATGTATGCTTTAATTTGTTTTAAAAATTATGGCTTTGAAAAAATATTTTTGATAATGTAATTTTTTTGATAATGATATTTAAAAGAAAACATTAAGGAATAACGGTAACACATTTAAAAAATATTTAACTCGATATACTCTGTATCCTCTAAAGTCAACAGAGCATTTCTAGGACTTGTGTTTAACACCATGAAGCAACGACAGATAAAACATTTTAATATGACACACTAGAATATACTGAAATTAGTTTCATTGTTATTTGACGCAAAATAACTAAAATACATCAGCAATTTTTTCTCTATTACTTTTGATCTTTGCTAAAGAATAGATATGTAATTTACTTAAGAAGAAAGTATTTTAATTTTTCCAAATACGCAAAAAGTAGGAAAAATTATTGTTTTTTAGATTATTTCAAGTTTTTGGTCCTTCCCCGTATATTAAACAATACGTAAATAAAGAAAGAGACCATGACTAGCGCTAGATCTGCAAGACCCAACATGCAATACGTGTTTTTTGTGATATTGCGTTAATTTTACTTTTTTCAAGTTTGGGAGAGCGGGGGCGTTGATCTGGTTTTAAAAGGGGTAGATGGGGGCAAGCGATAAAAAGAAACGATAATTTATTCCTGTAAAAGCAGTGTAAGCCGGTTAAAGCTAGCTAATTTTTATCTTTATGGACGAATAAAGGTTCTTATTTTTAAATTGCCCGTATAATCTAGACAAGAATTAGAAGTACTTAGTGGTTATGCGAGGGTATCTTTCATCCCCACTGAGTTAATGAATTCTGCGAGAAATGTTCAAAAACGGTCCCGTCTGTCAAACATCTGTAGGAAAATCTCATGTCTTAGTTTCCTATTAATTTTTATTGTTATTTGGTTTAAATGTGTTGATGTTAAATATAATTTAAATAGTTATAAAATTCTGCATTTCTCATTGCAAATAGCATTTTCGTTTTAATTGCTGCTCATAGCTAGAATTTTTTTGCTTTGCAGCCGGCGCCGCGCCGTTCAAAGCCTACTTATTCAAAGTGGGCGAATTTTTAAAAACTCTTATCTCGAAGAGGAATCGAGCAAAATATCAAGTATGCTATATTTTTGGAAAGGTAGTTTTAAATTTTTTTCAGTGATTTAAAAATATACAGGGTGTCCCATATTGAAAATCAAATTTTCTATTGATAATTCTTAAATTATTAGTTTTAAAAAAATTATACTTAAACCATTAAATTTCTACGTAAAAAGGTGCTTTGGAAATGTTTTCATAAAATACAAAATTTTCCATAGTAAAAAAGTTACAGCGATTTGTTAAAAATGCACATGTTTGAAAAACACCCCGTAAGCCCGTGGTTACATTGGATGCGTGTCCGTGCATTTTTTTGGTCGTACGTGCTCGGGCGTGCACGCAGCAAAAAACAAACAAATGGTATCTACGCAGGCGGTTACATAGAATCGGAGTTTGCGCATCCGTGCACGTACGTCGATTTCCGTTGGTCGGATGAAAACAAACTGGTTTGTTTTTTTAATACGTGCACGGTTCCGAGCGTTCGAAACTTTATATCTCTGGGCCAAATACATTCCCAAAAAAATTGAATATTTTTGAATACCAATTTATTTTTATTTTAGATATATTAATGTTGCTGGAAACATTCTAAAATATTCAAAAAAATTGACCAATTGCTGTTTTAATTCACCCAATATTTTACATATTCATTTTCTTCCCCTTTTCTTGCATATAGATCATTTACCTAACATTTTCTTCTGTTCATAAGTAGTTATTTTAACATTAAATCCTCAGACAGCATCAAAGTAGTGGCGTCCGTTTTGACAAACTCGACACACAGGACACCATGAACGCGCATCTAATGTAACCACTAAAATAAAATAGTCGTGCGAGTAAATTCCGTCAGAGCTCGCACGTTTAAAAAAACGCACGGACCCGCGTCCAATGTAACCGTGGGCTAACTCCGAAACGGTAACAGATATCGGTGTGCGGTTTTCACCATCATGTTTTTGATAAAAATTGAGCTCCAGACACCGATGTTAGTTTTCGTCTATCTCCTATAGAAAAGGGTGTTTCCCTTTAAAAACGTCCAATTTGACCCACCCTGTACATTGAATAACCCACCTATTGTATAAACTAACTAGTATTGAATCTAATCCATAATAGTCTTTAAAGGCGATGTAAGGAAATTTGAATAGCATAGGAACTGACCTAAATCCATTCAGCGTAACGACTTGAAGGAAAGAACTAACGAAACACCGGACATAAACCTTAATTTTACGTAAAAATGAGAGTACTTATTGTGATGGTTTGTAATTCTTCCTTTAAATCGATGACTCATTATTTGTTTTCACTGCATTTATATTAACGGACTTTGAAGAATATAAAGTTTTCCGTGTGTAAAAAGTTAAATTGAATTTTTGTAATACACATATTATCATAGTAAGAATTTTGAAATTTTTTTTTCAAACTACTCAATTAACAATTAATTATTCTTTGCATGAATTGAAATGTCGTATATTGTCAGCCCTTTTTTCTTATGAAATATTAGTAAATTGCAATAAGATGGGGTTTCTCAAAAAAAAATATCTGAAATTTTGTTGGTTGTTTAGTTCTTTATTTAGATTTTTTTATCATTAATATCATTTTATTTATATCTTTTTTTTATTAGAGTTTTCTTCCACCTTAGAAAATATATTTTTTTTTCTGGTAGGTTTCTTGGCTTGAGGTCGGGGTAGTTCAAAAATTGTTAAAATTTAATTTAAAACATTTATTTGACTGACGTTTCGAGAGTATGTGTCTTTTTTAAAGTCTCTTGATTTTCATGCATCCGTTGTCCGACGATACGATGATACGATATTAATAATTTTATTGGTTGAATTTAAAGGCTTCTATT